GCCAGAATCCTTCCGCCACGGCGGGCAGCTGCCTTCTGCAGCACCAGCCTCGGCGACCGACTTTAGACCATCCAGCAGGCCCATGATGCGGCAGCGAGGTAAAACCTCGACGTACCTGAGGCCCGGTTGGTGAAAGCTCTGCCGCACTATTGATACAGCTGTTACTAACTAACTAACCAACCAAAGCGAGCCATATTAGATTCCAGTGCAGTGATGGCGATTGTTTGGGGTGGTGATTCTAATGACAATGTTAGTGATATTTTAACTAGAAAAAAGAAGTGATGTTTGTTAATAATGCTCCTTAGAAAATTCATATATTCATATTCGTGGCGGAAAAAAAAGAAAGACGCAGACACAATTAAATACTTCCCTTCTAGAGCCATCTGGTGTGTGTTCCTTATTGAGTGCAGCTCATGCAACATTTATACATATATTTAGCATCGTTTCTTGACGCGGTGCAATAAAAAAAATGCAGCACGGTCACCTTCCTTCCGCATGCTTCGTATAATAATGTCGATTCCCAATATTTCTGCGGATCTGCCGAATGTTTTTTTTTTTTGTTTGTTTGCTAGGAATACGAATAGAAGCGACAGCTGGCTACATGGGCGCACATAGCCGCGTGCACATGAGCCCCGCGTTGACACCTCATTTCAATGAAGGCGTCCTGGGTGCTGCTGTTACCCCCTCTGAGGCGTTGCAATTATGCGTGACCCCTCCACAAATGCACTTCCGAGGCAAGGACATCAGCCATTGTACCCCCTTGCAAGTCTGCCCTCCTTTTTCGTGGTCGGCTTGCTACGAGCGCTGGAAAGATCGTGGCAGCCAACACAAACTCGTCATGAAAGGGTGCATTTCGCGCGCAGTCGGGTGCAACGCGAACTTTCAAATTCATTTCAGATCTGTTCCGGGCTACATTATCCGTCGATATTTCGTAGACGATGCGTATGTGTCTGCACAAATCTGTGCCCCAAGTTATGTCGCCTTGAAACGCACGCCTAATTGTGCGAGTACATCAGCCTTTCAAATCGAAAATTAGTGCTTGTAAAATAACCACGCGCTTTTGAAATTACATCGTATGACCAGGTTTCACAACATCACCACACATTGCCAGTTACAAAGACGCATATACCCATCTCCTCACGAAAGGCTAAACAGAACGCAAGCGGTACACTTCAGACAATTACAAACAGATTCATACAGAAACCCTAGACTCATGCACGCCATGTATCCAGACATATACACTACAAACAGATGTACGTCATGTGGCGAGGTTGCCACCCTTAGTCACATGCTTTGAGAGTGTCAGGGCCTAATAAACAATTCGAACAGTGCCGATTCGTCTCACTCTTCCACCGCCAGCCTCCGCTCGCGTTGGAAGGCCGCACTGCTCAGCTCGAACCTGACAGCACAACTCTGGGCCGTCCAGCGTGCCGAGGAAGCCGCTTCGAGACAAGGTCTCGGAACCGCATCCGCGGTGGGTGCCCAGGCCAACTAAAAAACGCCGGACTCGAATCGTCTGGATTCGACAAATAAAGTTTATGTTCTTCTTCTTCTTTGAAACTACATAACCTATACGGAGGTTCAGTTTTCTGTCATGCAGTAAAAAAATGGGTCGGGAAAAAATAAATTAGGGGCCTCTGTAGCTCAATGTCGCAGACCCGACGTGGTTGAGGAGACGGATAGTTATGACGTCACTGTTTTACTTCACAGAGCCACGAGTTCGCAGTGCATGATGGTGTATCAGCATTTGCGCGAAAAACACGAAGAGCAGCAGAAGCCATGAGAACTATACGCTTCGCTCATGGCGTCTTCCTTTCCTGTTATTTGTGCGATTGCCATTCACAATATGATTATCAGAGACGCCGTATAGAGGAAGCTTGCTTCGGGCCTAAATCTAAATACACGGCCTAATATCATATTGCCTCGTGTGGGTTATACAGAATCCATTTCAAAAGCTTTTTTTATTAAAGTAATTTGCCTCTACCTCGTGTGTACGCTTACAGCGTTTATAATTTACCTGGTCAATGCACTATATGCTTTTTTTTTTAATCACCGGGTGATGGACAGGTTATTCACGGCGCGACGCAGCAAGAGTATTTCCGAACCAGCTGAATACTTAGTGTCATTCACTTCAGGAAACACATTTTTATTTTATTGTATACGCTCTAGACCAAGGTATTACAGAGAGCAGTGGCTAAGTAAAAACACAATCATAATAGAATAGCAGGGCAACAAAATGGTTCGTTAATGAGTCGGGAAAGTGGTTCTACTTCCGTGGGTTTCAGACACTCAAGGGTTCGTGACAAGTTCAGGTGTGGCATTGAACTATTACAACGTTATGGCTGTGATCAACGTTTAGTGAACAGCGGCTGTGTTCTGACGGAAAGGATGCAAGTCAGAAACGGTGAACGAATCAAGAAATTTAAAAAATAAGGCGTCTACAAACACATTGCTGCCATTGGGCAATGACGCAATCTCGAATTCTTCGTGTATATACTAGAAGTGGCTAGCCTTCAATATATACGCACTGTGTCGATAAATATACTCGTGTGTCGCCGCTTACGAATTAGGAGTTTCGGCATCATCAAATGAGTGGGTGGAAAACTTTACTGAGAACCTGCGGGGTGCGCATTAGCACGTAGCTAGAAATCCTGGGCCGTCCGACTGGCCAGCGAAGCGGCCTGATCGAATGGAAAGAAGAAAAATCAGTTCCTCGTAAAAAAAGTAAAGAACAAAAACAAAAAATGGCGAAGCTTGCCCATAGCCCCGCAACCCTTGAACGCATCGAAACTGGATAAATCTGAGAAGTAATTTGGTTGTTTCTAGGCCTTAGCTAGGTACGATTTTATTTTCAATTCATGGACGCCGCTAGGCTGGACCGATAATGAATTGTCTCGTCTCGGTTTTCTTTTTACGTCCCAATATAAAATGATCCTGGACATCAAACGTTGAATGTACGAATCCAAGTGTTTTCGTCTACGTAAGTTCACCCTATAGCACAGTTTATTTTACACGAATGCCAAACCACACCAATATCAGTCCAAGATGGCGGCGATTGAGCGTGTCGTCACTCTGGGCTTGTCCGGCTAGGTTGTTTCTGCGTTGTCAGAATTTAACGACCCACAGTAATAAACGCGACAGAGTTGTCCAAAACTCCAGAGACAGAAAATCACGCTGAAACCATAGCATACTTCTCATGGATCTACTGGCACTTCGTCGTTGGCGAGGGCCTTCTACCGCTTCGGGTTCTTCTCGCAGCCACATTTGCCTTCTCTCCTAGTGGACCAGGGTTAGCGGCGAGGTTTGCCCAATTTCGGTGGCACATGCCCGTTTATCAGTTGTGATAAGGCACACATATAGAAGCGGCTTAACCAGCTTCGCTGTAAAAACACTACAACCGCTTTCCTCCTTATTCCCCCTTCTAGGTGACCATGGAGGAAGGAAAAAAAGTTAGGGACTCATTTTGATGTTAGCGTACTTCCACGATAGTTCAAACAGCGCGCCAAGGTAAGTGGCGCACTCACTGAAGCTTCAATAAAAGAACGAGCGGACGCAATTTTTGCTTATGGACCGGCGAACACAATAGTAAGCTAATAATGTATTATTACTTTTTTTTCAAAAACCAAACCTCAAACACCATACAAGAAAAGCTTCCTTGAAAATTATGTCGTAATTATAATTCATATACGCTCTATAACTTTAGTTGGTATTCAAATAAATGCTATATCGACAGCGCCTAACGTTTGTAGAAACAGCACCATTTTAGTAGAGTTTGCACATCTTGGAGGCTATTGTTATTTCTGCTAGATGCAACAAAAAGCGATACAGAAAGCCTAAAAACAGTTTGAAGCCTTCCCGGGCCAAAAATGACGTCGAAGTGACATCAGTCTTTTTTGGCACAGCCTCCTAAATTTTTTTGCCTGCCGAATTATCGGCGGTCACTTGGGAAGTGGCCGTCCTCGGAACTGCACTGATGGCGCCCCTTAAGTAGAGTTGTCTTCAAATAAGTTCTTACGTTTTTGGAGCTTATATGCAACAAATATAACGTAAAAAATTTTAAAAAGACGGGAACAAAGTTATAAATTATTATAATTAATTCCACGTAAGTGACGCTACCACAGATGATGGGCGTTTCACGCTCATTTGGCAGGCATGATCTTCGATACAAAGCATAACCTCTGAAACTAAAAAAAAAACGTCAATGTTGCTGATCTTAAAAGCCGAGTACAAAAACCCTCAACCCTACGTAGGTGGCGCCGCCATAGACGACGGGCGTTTTGAGTATATTCGGCAGACCATGACCTACTACACTCCTGACCTGCCCAGAGAGCACCTCTTCCAGCGCCCACGTTCTAGTTCATACCTTCTGCCGCTAGGGCCGTCACCTACGAGCGGCGTGGCGCTAGGCAGCACCTGTTCGCTGACGTCACCTTCACTCTTTGTAGTCAAATTTTAACCAACAAAGCACTCGTAGTGCGAATTTATGATCCACAATTTAGAAATATCCAGAAATAATAATACTAAAAGACATTCAGAATTTTTTTTGCAATAAAATGCACGCGACAACGCATAGGCTGTCCAAAATCATGTAAATCCACGGGTTTCCACGTTTGTCAACCAGTGTGCTATAAATTCTTAAGCGCACTGAACAGCTTACTTGACCAGCAATGTATGGGAAGAAATAGTCACATATATGCCGACAGTTCACCACAGAAAGCAGGCATTCTTATACCAGCGCCTACAAAACAACCGTAAAGAAGCAGACGAACAGGTTATAGGTAGCGCCACCTACGGCGAGCGATTGAACGAGAGCGGGGACACGCGCTCCCATAGGAACCCCGCTATCTGAACAGGTCAGGAGTGTAGTAGGTCATGCGGCAGACAACAAAAGTATAGGCGGCTATGTCTTTGGCTTGGTTGTTGGCTTGGCTAGGTACAGGTTATTGTTGTTGTTGGAGGTTGAATCCGATGCGGAATCCAACCAGTGCCAGTCGAGCAAACGCAGGTGGCGGTGGTGGTTGTGCTGTTTTGTGCGCGTGCTTGTGGTCATCGTGTAAACATCGTGCCTCTTCCTCTTTATTTTTTTCGTTCCACGATCGTTGTGATCACCGCGGTGAATCCAGCAGTGCTTTTTGTTCTCACCGTTACTTCGGCATGTCGTCGAGAGGACCGCGCAGTCAAGGCTTCTACGGTAATATTGGCGTTAGGCTAAATCTCTATTGAAGAGAATTTTTTTTCTTCTTGGGCGAACGGCTTCGTTCGCACTTCGCCCCGAGCGTCAGCACTTTGTGTGTACGATGTTCGCGTTGCAATCTAGCGTTTGAATCTTCCCACACTACTGCGTGAGAACCGATGACCTGCTCATTTCGAGGAAGCGCTACATCCACGAGGAAGCCCTGCTGGTGGTGCTGCATTATGCCTCGCTTCGCACATCAAAAAGCCCGCGAATGCGAGATTCTGTGCAAATGTTTCTGCCACGGTGATTTCTTCTGGTGCTCCGATTGCCTTCAAGCAGTGGCGAACGTTTTTAACAACCTGTTGGTGGAATCTAGATCCGTTTCCGGGTGCACCTTACATGACGATAGTTATGGCGCGAGAACAAAACGACGACACGAAGACAAGAAGGACACGAAAGACACGAGCGCTTCGTGTCCTTCTTGTCTTTGTGTCGTCGTTTTGTTCTCGCGCTATAACTATCGTCATGCCATACCAACTAGCCCAAGCTGCCACACTAAGTTGCACCTTACAGCATGTTACCACGAAGCCGTGTTGTGTTGATTGCCTCTACCCGCAACGGTGGGCTAGTGCATATGGTAGTCGACTGCTGACTGAAATGTGGCGGGATTGATTGCCGGCCGCATTTCGGGGGAGTCGAAAATGTTAAGTCAGATTGGGAAGTGTGTACTTAGATTCAGGTGCACGTTGGAGAACACCAGATGGTCAAAATTGCTGGACCCCCCCCCCCCCCCGCCCCGCTACCTCCGTAATCATATCTCGGTTTGCGGACGTTGCCGTTATTATGACACCTTTGCATTGCTCGAAATGTATTACGGGAAAATCGACAACCAGTTTTTTTTTTTTGTCATTTTCAAGGCGTTGGCAGGTATGTCTGTCTTTGTGCGTGCTGCATTTGACCACGTTGAGCGCGTCCTTTTTTTTTTTTTTTTTTTTTTGCAGGCCACGATGATCGCGCCGGAGATCGTGGTGGCAATCGTGGACGTGGTGGTGGCGGCCACCGGGGTGGGGGACGCATGGGCAACAGGGGTGGCTTCGGTGCGCCCATTCTAAAGCGCTACAACCGCCAAAAGTTCGGTGGTGGCCCATCAGGTGGACAACCCGGCTACGGTAAGAGTCTTTTTTTTTTTTGTCGTTTTTCACAGTTCCAGCGCGTTCGAATCGACGTGCAGGTGCGAGAGAATGTTGCCATGACAACTTTCGCACGCGCAAAATAACGCCTGGCACGATCGGAAATTTGGAAGCGAAGTGACGGCCATAATATGCTGCCTACAGCCACGTCGTTTGCGCAATCATAATAGTTTTGTTACAGTGGAGGCAAGTTGCTGCGTATCAGAAGGAGGCGCAGGAGTCGGAGACTCAAGTGGCGATCTCGGCTCATGGTTAAAAATTAAAAAAATGAGGCTAATAAATCATCAACACGAATGGAAGAAAATTGAAGTTTGCATTTTATGTTAACTGATCCAGGTTTATCTATATAATGCAAAAACATGAAAACACATGATGCATTGAACAGTTGCAGACAGGGGGCTTGCATAATAGAAAAGAAAAAGAATGAAAGTTTGCTCTAGGGGCTATGTAAAAGAAATGTTCTGGAATTTTATATAATGCTAGATAAGAAACGTTCTTAATTCTTCTATAGTGAGTCTATTGACATTCACTTTAAGATGGATGGCAATAAATTCCATGTGAGAAATGTGCTAAAAGGAGTGGTTTGTCTAATCGTAGTTACTACAATGCAGATAATTACCAATATGACATTTTTGTGAAAGGCAAGGCCACAGTTGTTAGTGTTAAAAAGTGAAAAAGGCGGGATGATGGAAGATTGGGAATCCATTGCTGATATGCTTTAATGATGAGAACTATATTGTCCACTGCTAGTTCATTTTTTAAGCATGCTGAGTGTCGCTGTGTCAAACATTCCTTCCCGTTTATCATTATCTATGCGTGAATCAGTACAGAAATAGCTGTGGGTACAGTTGACATTTTTTTTTTTAGATATAGCGATCTCTGGCGCCCTATTGCAACACAGCACTTGCAATTTCACTCGTGGAATTTCTGCAGGTAACTTTGTTTTTCGTCCTCCGTTCAGGCCGTCGAGGCGGTGGAGGCAACCGGGCTAGGTTTGCGGAAGAAGACGGGGACATAGAAATGCAAGGGGGAAACCTACCTGACCACATGCGCAACCGCTTGTAAGTATGAACTGACTGGACACCCTCTGTTAATGCCAGCCGCCCCTCGCCTATCCATTACCGGGTCTGCCGAGGCCAACCGAAACATAACCACAGATTGCACATAAATGCTTAGATTTAGATAGTGTAGTTATAGCGTTAGACTCCTTTATAGTGTAGACTCGAGCAAACCTCAGAAAACTGACTAGGGTATGTAGTTGGGTGTGTTGGTAATACATAACTAATCATAATAACATAGCACATAAGAACTGAGACACGGGACAAGGAAAGGGACAAAGAGGAGTGCTAACTTCCAAGAAGATTTTATTTTGAAGAGCGTACATATATATATATGTATATATATATATATATATACACACACACACACACAAAATGCGAAAAAACTGACAAAACAGTTTTGAAACCCACAATTGCTCTGCGCGGAAACTTACAATCATAGGAAGGACGAGTGTTATTAACAGAACCTGAGAGGGAGTGCTGACAAAGTTCAGCCCTAATCTTCAAATCTGCTCTGCTACCATTACTGCTTGCACTGGCGAATTTCTTTCTAATTAAAAAATGCAAGTTGTATTTATATCCTAGACAGAATATCTTTAGAAACTTGTACTAAGTAGGTCTCTCTGGCAATCGTATATACTTTATGGTATTAGCAGGAGTCGCCTTCAATTCCGTGGTACTTAGCTTTTCTCTTTTTTTTTTGTAATACATTTTGTCCGTGTTTGTTGAGCAAGCAGAAAATGCTCTCACTTTGTAACCTAGGTGATTGTTTCTAACCTCGTGTGGTAATGCACACAGGACTCACTAAATAAAATCTTTTTTTTTTTTTCCAACCCCCAGCAAGCCGTACAACAACTCCTACAACCGCAACAGGAAAAGGAGGGGCATGCCAGACCGGAGAGGAGGTGAGTTGGCCTTTATTTGTGGTTTGTTTGCCTCATGATGTAGCTTCTGCTTTGACATGTTTACTTTTTTAGCTCTCTGTAGCAGAACTTACATAAACGATAGAGGTGGAAATGTTGTAGGCCCGTGTACTCAGATTTGAGTGCACGTTAAAGAACCCCAGGTGGTCGAAATTTCCGGAGCCCTCCACTACGGCGTCTCTTATAATCATATGGTGGTTTTGGGTCGTTAAACCCCACAAATCAATCAGAACTTACATAAAGTATCAAGTAAAGTTTGTGTAGAGCAATTAAAATAATCAGGGGTGTTTTCATTGTCTTTATAATGAAGTGTTATTTTTAAGTAGCAGGTGAACCAGAGGAGACAAAATATGTGCAAAAACAAAAAGTGAAAAGGTCAGGGAATTTATCAGAAATTATATTATTTATGAAACAAGCTTTTTCCATCCTCTTCTGCTTCCTTTTATTTCATGATTGATTCAGTTCACTTAAAAAGTACAAAATGCTCTCTGTGCACTGCCTTGGCACTTTTCATCCTACGTTTTGCTTCGCTTCAACATGCCTAGCAGTTTGTGCATTTGTTCACTCATTTGTTTGCATTTGCAGGCCGAGATGTTTACGTTCCACCCCACCTACAGAACAAGAGCGGCGAAGGAACGTGGTACAAAGTCGTGGTAAGTTCATTAAGCCGGAATTCAGTGTTCAAGCGTAAACTCCTTCTTTCCTTGTGAGTAGAAATTTCTGAAGTTCTGTGATTGCGGCAGAAAGTTCTGAGAGTGCTAAAGTATTTTTCAGCGTGCGACGTACCCATTACTGGTCTTCAGTAGTATGACTTTAGTAAAAAAAAATTTCCGTGTAAGTGTTATAAAAATCGGGCGCCCCCATAGAACAAAAGGTGATACTCGGTTTATTTGCTATTTTTTGTTTTGCAGATTCCACAAGGCAAGAAGTTCGGCAAGGACTTCATCTACAGAGAGATCAAGGCGAGGATCAGTGTCCCGCTCATTCCTTACAACGTGAGCTAACATTTTACATATTAATGTTGTGGACCTTTGGGCTGCTCTTAATCATCGCGTGCACTTCTAAAGAGACTCGAGGTTTCTTTATAATGTCTTAGTCTTACTTTGGCAAGACATTCGGGGAACAATTGTCGGGGTATGCAAAAGACGGTCTGAAAATAATGTATGCCTTTACCCATTACAGAACGCTAGGTTTACCGCGTTTACTTGCATACTATGTGCGCTGGTTAATTATCCCCAATGATGACTATTTGATGGCTATGATATATGGATGGCTACGAATGAGTGTTGGATGTCAGATGATGTGGCTGTGTGATGGCCAGACGGAATTTCTTGTGATGCTTGTTGTGTTTCGTCTGACAGTTCTTCGTTGGGAAGTTCCTGCCTTGATTTATCTGTTTCGTTGCTGGCTTTTCTTTCGATTTCCTCTGTTTATACAGTTCCAGTTTGATGGCCATAACGCAGTCTTCTACATTGCCGATGTTCCAACAGCTACGGCCGTGCGAAACCTCAACAGAGTCATCGACACACCCTCCGGCTTCAAGGTCAGCTTCCATTTCACTCTCTGTTTATAAAAACAGAGCTCCACGGTTTTGCCTTGTGGGCAGTTCTCTCTTTATTATTTCTTTTTTTGCATGTTTGTATGGCAAATAGTCATCTGAGAAGATGCGATTGTTCCAACAGTGATGTGCTTATCAGTGGTTGAAGTGCTGCTCCAATAGTGCCAAACATGCTGTTCTGGTCTGTTATTTTCGTTAACAAATGCTCCAAAAGTGCTTAGAAATGTCGCTGCGAAAACGTAGTGGAGGAACTCTTAAGGGGAGATGCGAGTCGAAAAATCGCGTTTTTAGCGAAATTTCTCGTATTTCTGATTTTTATTGCATTGTAATCGTCAAACCTTCTTTCATCTGTGAAAATTTCAAAACTAAATTCGAACTGCAAAATGCAAAAAAATGTGTATAAAGGCATCGCGGTGGCTCAAAATTTCGTGAATTTGCGCCGATATTGGCCATCTTTGATTGCGCGCTGCTCCCCGTCGCAGTGCCGCCCGCCATCGCCATCAATTGGGAAAGTTGCGTCCGGCCTTCTTCTTACAGCTCCGACGACCGCCAGTTTCGTACGTGGGCAAAAAATAAATAAATAAATAAAAACCTAGGCCTTTTTATCACGTGGTTTGAGCGGTTTGAAACGCGCGGCACGCTAAGCCGCATCGCCATTGGCTGCCGAGTCATTGTCAGCTGTGTTGGTGGCGGCAATCGGCATTTGGTCCGTCTGCTTTTCTGCGCGTCTACGCATATTTCCGCCATGACAAGCCCGAAAAAGTGCAACGTGAGACCGCAGAAGTCTCGAACGAAACACATGTTCAAGGGAAGGCGGCGTAGAGCGTCCCGAACGACGGCGACGAACGAGAACGCGCCTACGTGTGCTAGGCCTGACGGCGGCATGGACGAGTGCGCGAGCGACAGTGGCTGCGATGAAGGGATTGACGCTGCGCTTTCTTTCGTCAGTGCTTCGGAAAAGAAGCTCGGCTTCTTCGAAAAAGACGAAAGACAGCGCGATGAGGTTTGTGCAACGACAGTTTTGTGCGACACCCTCTTGCTGGCGGCACTTGTGGCAAGTGCGGCATGCCCTGCTTGCGGTATTCAAAAACTTGCCGTTCGGGAGCCGGCAGAAAAAGCGCAAGGGACTTTCGTCGCTCCTCGAACTTCATTGCGAAAACAGCGAATGCTCAGCGACTGTTCTTTCGTGCTCCTATACGTCACTGCGTGTTACGGCGGACGGCAGCAGCCGAGTGAGCCAACGGTACAACAGTGGGAGCTCCCGAGATAGTTTTGCTGTAAATGTGAAGGCGGCGGTGGCTGCACGCGCTGTCAGCATTGGGCATGAGCAATTGTCGAGATTTTGCTCCATTATTGGACTCCCAAAGCCAATGCACCACCGAGGATTTTTTTCGATAGCAAAGAAGGTGCACACCGCTGCCATGGCAGCTGTGAGTGAAAACTTGCGCCGATCCAGAGAGTTGACGAAAGAAGTAGCAGGCAAAACTGATGTGGCTGTTATGTTCGACGGCACTTGGCAGAAGAGGGGCCACAAAAGCCACAACGGGATTGGCGCAGTTATCTCCTTAGATACTGGCCTCTGCTTAGACTTAGAGGTCATATCAAATTACTGCCTGACATGCAGTAGGCACAAGGATATGAGCCCAGACGAGGAAGTGTGGCAGGCATTCCATGGCCCAGTCTGTGAAAAAAAATGCAGACTGTTCCTCCCATGCCATGGAAACGGAGGCTGCAATGCACATTTGGCAGAGAACATTGACTTATGACACCCCACTGCATTTCATGACATTTTTGAGTGATGGTGACAGCAAAGCATATAGTGCAGTTGCAAAGTCAAAAGTCTATGGTGCTGTCAATATAGAAAAAGAAGACTGCACTAATCATGTGGCCAAGAGACTTGGCACCGCGCTACGGAAGCTGCATGTGCCATTACCACGAGGGCAGAAAATGAAAGAGCCAGCCATTCAGAAGCTCCAAACATACTATCAGATTGCCATAACAAGCAACAGGGGGAGTGTACGGGATATGTACACTGCAGTATGGGCTTCGTACTTCCACTCATGCTCTACTGACAATGCTGGCAGCCACAAGTTTTGCCCTGCAGGAACAAAGTCGTGGTGCAAACATCAACGTGCTGAAGCACTTGGTGAACCTGCACCACGCCACACAGCTCTCCTGACAAAAGCACAGGGATTGGCTGTTTTGCCCATTTATAAGCGGCTAACGGATGAGAAGCTCCTTGCTCAATGCATCAAAGGGAAAACCCAGAACGCATCGGAATCCCTGAACAGCAAAATTTGGCTACTTTGCCCCAAGACTAAGTTTGTCTCCCGAACGGTTGTCGAGACCGCCGCAGCTATGGCAATCCTGTGGTTCAACAAGGGTCATGCTACTTTCGAGCACATCCTGGAAGAGCTCAACATACTGCCATCTAGAGATCTAGTTACTTTCAGTGATTCCCGCGATGCGAGGCGCATCAAGAGAATGTCCGAGCGTCTGACAGCAGAAGCAAGGGCCCACCGTCGTCGTGGAGTGAAAAGGGCACGGCTAGAAGAGAGTGCTTGCAAGGACCGTGAGGGCACAACTTATGCTGCAGGACAGTTCTAGTAACTTGCAGTGCTTTTCAAAGTTCTGTTGAATATTGTGGCCAAAGATTATGCATTTCTGACAACTCTGTGATAAAAAAAAAAGGTTTAAAACTTTCAAATGCGTTTTTCTCCTTTTGCAGTTTTTTGTGATCTGTGCTTCTTATACACGCTAGTTCGTATACTTAGAATTGTCATACCTCTATGAAATTTTGCACGTAGCATGATGAAGGCCCATAGAGTGCAAGTATCTATTCAGATTGTCAGTGCTGCTTGATTATGTTTTTCAAAAATTACATAACATTGAAAGCCCTTGGCAACTAGAGCCATAGTAAATTTTTCTATTTTATTATTGTATTTCACCTTTCTACACACAAAATTTATATATTTTCTTGTACTCTACAGTTCCAAAGGATCATAGTCAGCTATATCTGCATGCTTTATCTGAAATTTTTATAGGTCAGAATTGTTGCATAACAATGGCCATAATTTTGCAGTATCTGACCTGCAGAAAGAAAACAAAGCAATCTACATGAAAATAAATGACATATTTGAAAAGAGGAGAAAAAACTCTATTAGCATGCCAATTTGTGTTAAATTCAGACTCTTATTAAAGAAAATCGTTTTTCGAGTAGCATCTCCCCTTAAGGATGTGACCAACTTGCAAGTCGTAAGAAACCGAAAAACAATTTTCATACAGTAAAAGCCCTTTACTCAACCTTTGATTTAGAAAATGCAGATAATTCAGACATTTTCTCTGGTTTCTGAAAGCCTATGTATTGTTTGATGGCATAAAATTTTCCTTTATTCGGTCATATTTGGCCACGACCCGGCTAACTCTGGGCGTTCTTCGGAGCGGCTCAAGCGTAGAGCACAGCAAATGTGTGAAGCAGAGGAGCTTAAAACCGCAGTAACGAACTACTGAAATGACCACAGGCTTTCAGAAAGGCGTGGTTGCCATAGACCTACCACAATGGCACTGTTGATGACTGCAGCTCAATGGTGGTCTTGAGCTGCATTCACGCTGTGAATGAAGTCGTGACTGGTGAAAGTTGCAGCCTTTACACTTGTGAAAAAAGATACCGCATTTAAGTATTCATCAAGAAAATGAAAATACATTGAGTAGCAGACGCTTGTTGTTTTGTTAATACCGTTAATAATTCGGGTGATTTGGAATTGTTTTCCAGGCTCGTGAAATCATAATTAACGTACGTTTACTGTTTTATCAACCGAGTACCGTATTACTCGATTCTACCGCGCCCTTGATTGTAACGGGCACCCATTTTTCTCGTTGGCCTGCACGATCACACCACTCTAAAAGACGACTCCTTTAGGGAGCGTCTTCCATTTAAATATGAGGTAAGGGGGAAGCTTGTGCCCATCTTGACGTGTAACAGAGCATTGCCGTCACTGTAGTTTTACCGTGGATCGATGTCAGCACGCGAACTTGCTTCGCCCCCTTCTCGACAGTTGTGGTGCCAGGCATGTTGAAGTAAAGAGGCGCCTGATCGGCATTCCCGATTTGCCCAAGCAGGTAGCCGTTGTTGTGCTGCAAGTGTAGGACGAACCTCTGAAAACTGTGAAGCTTTTCATCGTACTCCTCCGGAAACTTTTCGCATATGCCTGTTCCCCTTCGGAGGAAAAAGCCTTTCCTCTTCATAAAGTTGGTTAGCCAGAACTTGCTCGCTTTAAACTGGCTTGGCATTAGACCTTTTTCTAAGGCTATAATTGCATAGCCCGCACTTGGAGCAGTTCTGTCGTCACGGGCCTCTGTGCCACTCGCTGCTCAAGCACATACTCGCCGAGCAGCTCTTCAATTTGCGGAAACTGACCCTGCTGTGGTCCACTGAAGCCTTTGCGTGAAGCTTTGCTGTCGACAATCTTCTGCTTTTGTTTCCGCCAGTCCCGCACGCACGTTTCGGGAACTCCGAATGACCGATGCGGCCCGATTTCCGTCCGTTTCTGCACACGCGATGACTTTTCTTTTAAAAGCGGCATCATGGTGGACACGAGTTTTTGGAGTCGCTCCTTCCATGCCGTCGAATGCCTAATGCACTACAAGATGACGAACAGCTCAGCGCACGTACAAAGTGCCGCACATGGGAAACACATAGGCAGAAATGGCCGACGCACGTAAGGGGCGGCCATTTTAGAAATGTTGATGGTAATAGCATGACCGTATCCATTTTTTTTTTTGTACTCAGTTATAACGCGCATGCGATTCATGAACTCGCTTAACCGAAAAAAAGGTGCGCGTTAGATTCGAGTAGTTACGGTATGCTAGAATGTTATTTATGCAATAAGAACTAGCATATCAAGCATATTGATGAATTAGCTGTTCTCTCTCTCTTTCTTTACTCTTTCTACGGCCTGGCACGCAGTGTATTTTATGAAATGTGACAAATTACCGACTTGGTTAGATATTATACCTATTATCAACTACTCCTTTGGCAAACCGAGGTTACTTTTGTAATGCGGTACCTGACTTACCTAGTTGGACGTCGTTGCTGCCACAGCTGCTGATATTTTAAATATAAGGCTCCCATCACGGCACCATCTTCAGCAACCATCTTTTTAATTGTCTCTTTTTAGCAGTTTACTCAAGTGTTGTCTGCGAAGTCCCTTTCATAATAAATATTAATATCTATGAAATGCTCCAGTGATGTTTCAAACTCCACGAGGTTGTCTGGCAAATTGTGCTATCTTCATAAATGCAAATGTACTTACTTTTAAACTACCATTTTTCAGAAACGCTTCAGAAACGCTCTTGGCTTCTCCGCAGTGATACTTTATCTGCTACGAAATCTGCTCCGAAAAGTAAAAGGCCACTTTAGTCAATGGCTTACGCTTTGTCTCTCCTTGTCTGCACATTCTCCGCAGATGGCCATCACAGTCAAAGGCTCCGACCTGCCAATCGTGGCCGTCGATGAGGAGGTCATGCAAAGTCTCAAGGTAAGGCCTGTGTCCTTGCACATAGCCTCCACTCAAGTTTCCTCATGGCTTCAAAGTCAAAAACAAAATCTGCCTAAATAGTAACGTGCATCAAAGCTCCACAAGAAGAAAAATGAAAGGAGCTTGCTTTGAAATTTTAATTGGAAAATTTTTAGAATCGGGCACAACTCTATTTACACTCACACGTCGTTATAGCAAAGTTGCATTGTACATGAAAATGACTTTGTTATATCCTGAAATTCGTTATAAAGGTTTATTCCTAACATCATCTCTCGATTGCAACACTATTTTTCATTCACTTCGTGATAACGGGTATTTCGTTATATCTGAGTTCATCACTATCGAGGTTCGAATGTATTCCCATCAAAGCACCCACATGGAAATGCGTAAGTTATTTTCAAGACGCTGGCGGAATCAATTTGACCGACATGCTAGCATTTCAGAGGCGAGTCAAATTATATTTTTAGACTCAAGTTTCCACTTCCTGTTGGAAACTACGGAAATTTGCAGCGAACAAAAAAAAGTAACATTGTTAAGGCATTCATCATTGGGTGAAAAAAAAAGGGAGGGGGGGGTGTTGCAGTTATGTATGCAGCATGTGGAAGAGCAGAGGTGAGCAACCTTTCGCGGAGGGAGAACGAGTCACCTGAAGCTGACATGGCTTCGGGGGGGGATGAGGGGGGGGGGCTGAGAAAAAAAGTGAAGACGCTATGTGGACCAAACCAATTCCAGTGGGAAGCGACCTTTTTTTTTTTTTCTCTTCATGTCTAACCCCATTAGAGCTCAAAACTGCCATTGCAGTCTTCAGATATGAAGTTACAAGGGGATTGGAGAGGGTTCCGACGTTTTTCTGGGTGCCGCAGGTTGGCAACCTGCTGCCTCCAGAATCGCAGTCATTATACTGCAGCCCAGAATCCTAATACTGGCGCGACGATTGTGTGCGGGCCACAGGTTGTCGATCTTTGTTCATGCCAGCGAACAAATTTGAATCGAGATGTTACAGTTTGCGTGACATTGTTACCACGCTTAAGAAATTTTTCTGAAAGCCCTGACTCTCCAAAATGTATTTTGTAGCAGAGCATTTTGTTTGCTTCACATGTCTGCTGTGCACTGTTTCATACGTCAGGTACGATTCTATATAAGGTAGTGGGACATCTTGTAGCGGATGCATTCGCGTCTTGAAGTGGCGGAGTGATTTTACCATACATAATGTGAAAACGAATCGGTCGCATTTGGAGACTCGTGATGAAAGTCACAACAACCTCCTTACTTTTTTCTTTTTTTTTTTCCAGCTGGTGATGAGCAAGCGATATGATGCGACTCGCGGTTACCTTGACCTGTCAAACTTTCAAAAGGATGAGTCCCTAAAAGAGGCTGAACCTGTACATCACCTTCACGCGGCCGAGCATCTTGTCCATAGCGATCAAGATCATCGTGGAAAACGTTCCCGAGGTGACACATCTTCTACCTATTTCCGAAATTTCTTACCGCATCTGTCAAAGTTGTCACAGGTATTGCTTGTGGTGAGTTGACAAGAGCGATGCGCTTAAGGGGTCACGTGAACTAGGGCTGACAAATGGTAGGCGCTTACTTGTAACTGAGGCTTATTCTGAAAATCAGGAAAAATATACATATAGATCATATTCTAGACATGTTCAAGTGCTGCGATTTTGGGCTGATGAAGTTGCAGTTTTGTATCTATATCAAATAAACATTGCTATGTGAACTTTCAGCGCACCAAAGCAGTTGGGCAGATAGATTCAGCATATCATTACCATGTGAATATGTCACAACAAAGAAAACTGGCAAAGCGTTCCTTTATCACTCCAAGGTAATGATGCCCATGAATGGAATGGAAAAACTGTTTTTGTCCTGCAGGACGCGCGTAGTGGGGGTCTCCCGCGTAGGCACCTTGCAATTGAAATCACGTATAGACATGAATGGAACAGTGGCGCTAAAAGTCAAGATAAACAAGTGCGTAATCAATCCAGGTTCCGTTCATGTATATAATTTTTTATTTTCTCTTCTCTTCTTCACTCTAGTCTATGTCTTCCTTCTATGGTACTTCACCCTCACGAGTAATTATTCAATTCCAATTAGCTCTAGCTACCACCATCAAACTAGGCATTCAAACTAGGATATGTAAAGGAAGCAGTGTGCATCCACACACATACAAAAAAAAGTGTAGCTGCATTTTGGTCTGGATTCAAGGAGATAGACCGTAATGTCTCACATAACAAGTATAATTTTTTACCGTGTCTGCCAGATTTAACGCATTTGTGCTGTGGGTAGGTTTTAGAATGATCTTTGTGGAAAATGTTCACGTGATGGCATGTTCTGTATCTGCCCCTTCCCTCCCACTTCCGTCTAAAATTTCATACCTTATCTGCCGAAATCGCCAGAGTTTCGCTGATAGTAGAGCATTCAAACTAAGATATGTACAGTCGCCGACCGATTTTTCGGACCTGGCGGGGACCGAAAAAAAGTACGAAAAATCGAACATTCCGAAAAATTCGTTTTCGCCAAAAATCTGAAGTTTATTGCATCAGGCAGGTTTAAAAAAGTCCTTGATGCTGCCTTGCCTCAAACTACGCTTGGAGGCAATTTGGTTTGCCCGTATTTGCGCCAAGGTGACATCGTCGCCGTAAACGCTCGACAAAATTGTCACCAGCGTTGGCGATCGCCGCCGCCGACGGCTGCGCCGACCGCCATCCGGCGTCGACCGTCATCCAGCGACATCTAGCTGCGAACGTCCACTCTCTATTAGCTTGATTATGGCAGCTTTCTTCTCCATCGTCAGGGTCGTATATTTCCCACGCTTCTTCACACCACCTGGCTCCCGCGATGGCACAGATAGCGGAGCCGTGGCACCGAGAACACAAAATTCGATGCCGCAGATAGCCGCTGCGAAGCACACAACGTCTCGACGCTACGCGACACAACACGTGCAGAATGGCGACTGAAAAAAGCTGCAACGACAATAAAAGAATCCTTCTTTCGCCTCCTCCCCGTGCGATGTGATGACGATAGTGCTGATTGAAGACGAAAAAACGGCATCCATCACCGCGTCTTTCAAAAAGCAAACACGGCCTCCGAAACTTAAAACATGGCGTGCGCATTCCAATCTCGGAGGCAGGAAAGGCATCTGAAGACCAAGTTTAGCCAAGCCGACAGAAAATCCGACATGGCGGCGTTCACAATGGCTTGAAGCGTGGCACAAAACAAGCGATTTAGTCCGAAAAATCGAACTTTCAGGGGCAAATTCGCCCGAAAAATCGGTCGAGACAATGCATTAGCTCTATGGGGTCCCTGACGGCGCATTTATAAAGTCCGGAATATCCAACAAGTCCGAATTTTTGGAGTCCGGAAAATCGGTCGGCGACTGTAAACGTATTGGTGTGTATCCTACAAAAACAGCTGTAGCTGACGTTGACTTAGAATTGCTAACCGTGTTATCCGTATCAGGCAACTTCAATGCAGTTGGGCTTTAGGTAGCATTTAGGTTATGAGGTGGAAAAGTAGTAATGTGGGCATATTAAATAAATAGGTGCAGCCAACATTTTAGTTGCAACTTTAGGGTAAATACTCTCTGCACTTTAGGGTCGAAAACCATTAGTCTGTTATAATAAAGGAGTGTACGGGTTTACTCTCATAATTCTTATATACTAAGTACATTTATGTGCTGTCGCGCAGGTTCAGACGCTAGACCTGTCGAACAACAAGTTGACCACGCTCTACCCACTCGGTCCCGTTCAGGGTGCGTGCAAGCAGCTGCGTTCCCTCAACTTCGCCAACAACCGGGTAAGTGAACGTGCGGTCATTCACAATTTCCCAATGAGGGTTGTTTCCTTACAAAAGTACTGCATCAGAAGCTCAAGAAATGGATCATTGTAATGTGTGCATAGTTTTCATTTGTGACCCACTCACGAGAACTCTGATGGGGCACGTCGACTCCCAGCTTGCGCATAATGGGAGCAATGTTACAGCAAGCTTCTAATTAAGCTCGTCAGCAGTGCATTGTTGAAGATTTTCGTTGGTCAAATGGTTACAGAGTGACGTTGAGACAGTCTAGAAAAATGGGGATTGGCTTTTCGAGAGTTGTCTGTCTCTCTAGCCTGGTTTCAGAAGCGTAATGTCAGTGTAAATGCAGTGCCAAGCTCTCTTCGTAGACTTCCTACTTCGATGTTCTTGCTGAGTTTTTCACAACATACTAGTATTCCACTTTGAATGATGCAGTGTGCTTAGGACCCTATGGGACTTTGAATCGGGCTTTCTTTTAATTTTAAAGTTACTGTGGTTTACACTACAAAGCGAATGATAAAAACCTAGGACCTTTTTCTAAACCATTGTTTGGCCAGTGGAGTGGGGTGTATGTCGGGAGGTACGTATAACTGTATAGTATTAGGTGACAGCACATTGAAACAGTGAATACTCCTAAAGGGGAAGGTGGGGGGGGGGGGTGTACTTTTGTTGGCGTCTTTGTGCTGAAAGGGACGCCCTTTGTGCCCTTCCACTTTTTGTATTTGTGCTTCTCTGATGTATTTTTTCGAGTGGTGTGACAGCAAGAAGATATACAGCCATGCCTCCATGGAATGAATATGGATGTAAGAGCTTATCGTTTGGGACATTCTAAACTAATACCGTAATAGACGTGTCGGTAATACACATTACAAATATATCTTTTTAATGAACTTCGAATTTAGTGCTGCCATTTTTCTTATATGCAATTTCGTTAATGAGGTTTAAGTGGGTATAAGAATGCGGTATGCCCCCTCCCCCCCCTTTTTTTTTTCACAATCAGATTCTGAAAATGGCTGAGCTAGACAGCATGAAGGGCATGTCGTCTGTCCAAGAGCTCATCCTGGAGGGGAACCCCGTCTGCACGGCGTACAACGACAAGAGCCAGTACATAAGGTAACGTGCCCAAACTTCGCAGAACGTACGTCTAACTTGTATGAAACCATACGAACATTGCTGACACGTTCGTAATTTATTTGCGAACTGAATTGTGGCTCCATGTTTCTGCTCTTACGGTGCTGACTGTTCCTTGCAGTCTGACCAAGGTTTCTTTGAACTTGTGTAGAAACATCTTTCCCCGGCTATGTTTAAGCAGCGTTTGGTCTGGCACATTAGCATACTCTGATTTGAACTTTTGTGTGGCCTTGTATGTACAACGCTACCGGGTGTACAAAGGTTGGCCTTCCTGTCTTCAGTGCTCTTAGTCTCTATATCGAACTCGTATGCGTTTTCCTCTTTTTTCAACTTTTAATAATAGTGAAGGATGCCTAGTTTCTGACGCAAAATAAATAACTGATGCCAGTGAGGTTCACAGCTGCTGAAAACTTTCTATTGATAATCGTTCAGCTGGGCTCGATCTCTCAAGTGCCATACTTGTGAGTCTGCTTTCTCGGGCCAGGAATCTCACAAAAAAAACAGAAAAAAAAAAACAGTTTCATGCGGTGGTTACTGAAGTCCCCAGCTTTACATGCCTGCCAATGCCTCTTGACGTGTGCGAGCCAGCTCAAAATTTCTCAAAATTTTTCATTCTGCTTTCATGCAAAAATGCAACACAAGTGATGGGTCAATAGGTTATGGTGTGGTCGCACCACCATCCAAATTTCGGTAGCGGTTACTTCAAAGTGCCACTTTGACTGTAGCACCACTTTTCAGGCGACTGTGCTGACTGCTCATAGCAGTCTCGCTGCTTCTAAAGCAAGCGTCCTCAAGCACTGTCGAACAGGACGAGAGAAGCGACGTTTCTGCAGGGGAAATTGCGGGAAGCATTTCGGTTTCATTTTCGACGGGTGCGTCTTGCTCTACGCACCATTATCCGAGCAGCAAGTGCGGCTCTTCGAACGGGCGGAATCGCAAAACGCCGGCCACTGACTTCAACTCGTATTGTTGGGTTCAAGTTCTGCCAGCCCAGCCGTAACACTTTTTTTTTTTCAGGCAGAGTGAAAAAAGAAAGGGTGAAATGAGAATCTAGCCTATGATTTAAGAAGTAGTTTTTTCGACTAATTTATTTGCGCGGACTGAGTGCATTGCATTGCAGGGCGCTCGCGATGCTTTGCCGTGTGAAGGTGCTGCAGTTTTTGCTTTTGCCGTTGCTTTCATCTATCAGTGCTGCTCGCGTTTCACCGTCTCCGAGGAAGTCTCGTGCATAAACAAAGCAAGGCACTCTGAGCTCGGCTTCACGGCCTATGCGGGGGGGGAAAGCACAAAATGGAGTTGCCTTGCCTTGCCTGCTTCGAAGAAACCGCATCATTTCAAGTTTCAATCAATCTTTCATTCCCCCCCTTTTTTTCACGTTTCTGCCGAAGTATTGCGTCAACTCAAGAACATTGTCCAACAGTCCCCCACCCTCACTTCTCTTTTTGTTTCTTTAAGACGGGCACGGTGACATCTCGAGGCTCATCCGCGGTGGGGAAAGACTCTGCGAACGCTAATTCCCATGTCCGTATCCCTCCCGAGCGTCAAGCTTTCTCTAGAACATCAGAGAACCAGTTTGTTGAGGAATATGAAGAGGAACAAGACTAAAGCAGAGTCTGCGGATCCCCATGACGGCTGGGATGGTCTCTCTGTTTCCCGAGGGCGCCAGCCACCAGGGACCGCCTCGCCTGGTTCGGATGCTTCAGTCTCTGGAGATCGCCGCTGCCCTCGTCACACTGCTGCGAAGACGACCGATTAGCTAGCTTAGAGATGCCTCTCGTGTAAAGTTTCTGAAAACTTCTCAGCCCCGGCTCCCGCGTAAATTACTAAGTCACTTCTGTCTCAGATCTTCGATTTGGCAAAGGCTTCTCCACGACCCCGCCCTGCAGAGGCCAATTGAGTTACGGCTCTCTGTGCTTTTGTGAAGAAGACCGCTCCACCACGGTGTTGCCGAGCGAGCCGAGAAGCGGCTTGTGTGCGGACTTCCAGTTACAAGCAGTCTAAGCCGGTCCACCATGGCTTATGACCATCGGAGAAAGAAGCTGACTGCGCATGCGCAGTCAAAAAGCATAAAAAAAAAGGAAGCGGAGAACGGTTTGGTAGATGAAGGAAACGGTGCTGGCAGACGACCGGTTTTTCGCAGCACACCACTGAGGTTTGCGGGCCCTTGACGATGCGTGCAGAGCATAAAATCTTTGCTCCCACTCTACAGAACTCTTAAAGTGAACTGATGCGCAGTAGCCAGTACAAACGTGGCCTGTGCCGCACGGCTACACTGTCCGAGCAGGAGGCCAGCCTCTTGCGAAGCCGGCACGTTCTTCAGCCGCATTTACACGCTCGGCCAGGGTTCCCAAAATTGTAGCTGAAATCGGCAGTGACAGTGCCTACTTGAATGTCGCTGCTGTCCGATCCTGGGAAGCATGCCCTTGAGGTCCTGCGTGCAAGCGCTTTTCAAGCAGCGCAAGTCTGCTACAGCAGTGAAAACACACGTTCAGAGATTTGGGAACATCAAAATAAGGAAGAATGTGGAGCAGTGGATTGGCAGCCAGTCTCACACAAACTGCTTTATTCACTTAAATTAAGCTGTTTGCTTTATGATCACTTTTGTGTACAGTGTTAAATGAAGGGGTATAATATTGTGCTTTCATGTTGCAGTTGCCAAGTGACTTGCGTTCGAGTGTGGGGTGTAATACTGCTAATTCAATTGCTAGCCACATGCTGTGCCCCTTCATTTCTTTTTACTGTGCTGTCCTTCACCATCTAATGTGTTGCTCTGGGACATTGTGCCCTGAAATTCATTATTCTTGTTCGATTATCACCGATTCAAGTGCATATTTGGCTTGCATGCAGCGAGATATATTTGGCAGACAGCTGCAGGCCCGATTACTGTGGCAAACTCTGCTACGTGTGCTGATATTTTGTTTTATTGAGTATTGTATGTGATGATTGCAGCTCTTGTGTTGCGTAAGCTCGTTAAACATTACCAGGCCCTGTTGTACTGGTCTTGTAAATTGTGCGTTGAGTCCGTGGATCAAGGAGCAATTCGCATCTTGTGATCGCTCCGTTCACTGAGGTGTGGAATGGACATTTCATAAAGCAGTAGTGGGAGTCGGCGAGGTGTTGATAACTAAAGCCCTTAAAACCTTGAATAGATGATAACTGCACACTGCGTGTCACTTAAGACAGGCAGTGGGGAAACCCCCGTCTCGCGTTAAATTTCCTTTTTTCTACTCTTGCTCTTGTGTTTGGTTCTTAGTGTTTGAACAGTCGCGGTGTGCATGAGCTATGTTGAGGGCCTTGTGTGTGGCGCGAGTCTTGTCTCGGCAGGCTGCTCGCCGTCTCCGGCCGCTCTTGAGGCGGTGGGTTCGGAGGACTGACTGTGCTTCGGCGCGCGCCTGCGCGGCGGCTGGGCCCTGCTCTCTCTTGTCTTTTTGCAGCGCGGTGCGGCAGCGCTTCCCCAAGGTCATCCTGCTGGTACGTGTAGGCATTATTATTATTATTATTATTATTATTATTATTATTATTATTATTACACTTTGCCCAGAATGTTGCTTGTCTGGGAAAGCTTAACAATATGTCACCTGACATCTGACGTTGCCAATTGAAAGAATGCACTTATCATATATACCCTATTTACTCGTATTTACTTTCTTTCGCGGAAAACTGATGAAAAGTTGGGGGTTGCGAAAACGTACGGAGCGGGGAGGAGGAAAAGTGGCCACAAATCGGGATTCTCGTGTTAGTGACTAACTACAAGCTTTGTGAAACTACAAGTTCAACACAAGGCAAGATTTACTTGAGACGCAAAAGCTGCGAGCAAATAGTGGAGTTTTGGAACACCCTATGCAAAGCTTGCGGGCATAGCGTTAGCGTTTGTCACTCAACGGCACCCCGCAAAAGGTTAGCGTATAACGTCAACCTTGTGCTGATGGCCATCTAACATGGAACCTGTTCGCAGTTGCTTTCCAACGAAATAAAGCTTTACCGTTCATCCCAGTCTTCTGCCCACGGAAGGCTGAGCGCGTCTTGGTACTTTTCAGCTGCCAGTGCTGCCATTGCCAGTAGCGAACACAAAATTAGTCGCCTCCAAAGTGCCTACCGGCGGCCCTGTTGCCGTCATTTAGTTCAAGATCAATCACTTTCAACTTGAAAAGCAGCCATACAGCTTCTATATTGCCCCATAACGTAACTACAGAACGGACACTGTGTACATTGACATGCTGTAACGCACACTTAGCGCTTTGGATTGGATTGAATTGGAGCACCGTGCGATGATAGTAAGCATAATGCTTAAGAGGTGGCCCCCGACTGTTGTGCGCTGTCTTCTGTGGTTAGAAGGGGCACACGACATATCAGCTGCAATTACTCTCAGATAAAAACAAAAATCATTTTTCTTGGGCAATGTGGGAGTGCGAGAATTGTGGGAGTGTGAAGGTTACTCGAGTAAATACAGTACCACATTTACTCAATTGTAACGCAGCCATGATTGTAAGGCGAGGGGCGAATTTACAGGCCACTAGTGAACGGACTGCGAGCTGCAGCTTTGAGACCGCCCGTTTTTATATTGTTCATTACCGTTAAGAAATCATAACTGAATCGATTAGGCAGACATTGTACTTGTGGCTAAGGTCTGCGAGAAAGAAGTTCCATTACAAAGTGCTGTTCCTGGTTATTTTTGTGATTTGCAGGACCACAACGAGCTACCCCCTCCCATATCGTTCGACCTGGGCCTGGAAGAAACGATTCCTCCTTCAAAGGTAGCATAGGGATTTTTTTCTGATGAAGTAGTTACGTTTGTTTGACGTTTCTTTTTTTCTTTTTCTTTCTTTTTTAATTTTACTTTTTAGAGGAAGTGCATGCGGGATTTTCTTTTCGCTAAAGCAAACACAAGTACAGGGAGTGCTTTGTAGGAAGGTGTAGCTGGCGTTGCATGATTATTCGAAATTCCAGATGCAGATGAGGTGCTCATTGATACAGGAAGGCGAGAAGTGTTTATTTCTGTTTGCAGAAGAGGTAACACTCGTATTTACAATGAAGTCGCATCTAACACAAAAAGTGACTTCCTTATGTATGAAAATTCATTGTAAACATACATTTGTAACACTATTTATGACAAGATAATCCATTAATATTGTTGTAACTTGTAATTTGTTATGTCTGTGTTCATTATATCGAGGTATGAATGTATTTGTATGCACTTAAATAACTTCAGGAAAGCTGGATGTAGTTAACACAGATGGTGCTAGTTAGTGCCGGATATAATTGAAGTATTTAAGTTTTTATCACCAGCCACGTCCTGTAACTAATATACGTGGATGGCAACTATGAGTTTATAACGAAGGCAGTTGTGTATTGAGTTTTGCTGTAGTACCAAGGTTCAGTTGTACTTATTTACCAACTGAAGGAAATAAAAAAAAAAAAAAACTTTCAATGAAAGCTGCATTTTTCAGACTTATATAGAGGTGGATTACTTGTTGCGCTATCTGCAAGCAAGTCTTTTTTGTTTCATAGATCACTAAAAGGCAGGTCAGAGGAACACGTCGTATTTAGTAGTTAGCTGCGGCGGTGATTTTGTTCAGCCTGCTAGTGATTGTCAATGAACATGGCAGAGTGCGAGTTGATCCTTAGAGGAGTACTGCCGACCCTTCCCAGACAAACAACCCTTCCGTTGCACATACTTTCTTCAGCTCATTTTTTTACTCTTGCTGCTCTTTCCTTGCAGCCAAGCTATTTCCCCTCGGAGGACGTGAAGCAGATCGTGGTGCAGTTCCTGGAACAGTGAGTATCGACTCACGATCCCCACATTGGGTGGTGGGTACATGTGTGTGTGCACAGGCTCGTATGTCACAGTTTTGGGTAAGACGTTTCGCTAGTGAACTGTAGCTGTAAGACTAAACTCACCACTGCCGCTGTTCAGGCCGTTCAGGGTGAAGGAATACCGTTCCACCTAAGAAGACCCTGCTGCCTTTGTTTTTAGAGGCGGATTTCGGGCGTATTGCATCACCGGGCAAACCAGTGCGTGGAACGATTTTCAGCACCCTACTGCCGCCGCAGAGCATGGCGACGGTGCTTCACGGCACTCCCGCGTCCCTATAGTTTATGACGTAGGGATCATGCGAGCCCTACTATCGGCAGTTGCCTCTGTATTCGCTACGGGTCGGATGCTCGTTCTCAACGCGGAGGAAGAACAGCGAGAGTTGAAGGAGAGCCCAACATGCACAGAAGCGTGAACGGATTGAAAATGATGTGAGGTTGCTGCCACTGGTGTCGCTGACTTCTGTGCTTACAGCTGTGGGAGGGCTCTGAATATCTTTACAATCGATTTGTCTCGCTCGTTTGCCTTCTGCGATCCAAAGCGTCCGCTGCTAGACTATAACCTCTCCCTCTGTCTCCCCCAGGTACTTCACCATATTTGACTCGAAGAGCAGGGGCGGCTTGATAGACGCCTACCACGACGACGTAAGTTGTCACCGCCCACTCCTTCTCTTGCTTTTTGTTCCATCTCAAACGGAGCATAATGGAATTACTTTTGCCGCATATGCAAGAAACTCTAGACGTGCATCAGCATGGTGTAGTGCGGCAAAGTTCTTGCGAGCGTGCTCGTTGTGAACTGGTACCATCAGTGACCTACCAAGTTACTGTCGGAATTCTGAGAATTTTGCCTAAAACTTCAGGATTATGTGAGTAAATTAATTCGAGGATTACACAAGAACTTTGCCTGAATTCTGTGAAAATTGTAATGATAAAACTTGCCATACAAAAGGAACTGTTCGTTTGCTTTCAATTTAGGTATAATGCTGATTTTTAATTTGGCCAGCACATATTACAAATTGCGTCTCAATATGGGCATTTTTTTTTTTTTTGTAAGGTTAGCAACTTGAGGGGTCTAAAGATATTTTTTTCACTGAACTTACCTTCGGTGAAGTAAGTATTTATTGCTTAGATATTCACATAAACTGCAGCATTGCCATTGAGAAAACGCAAACGTGGAGGCAGAAAAATTGCACTAATATTACCCAGTTTCAAACACTTTACACAGGCCCATTTACTTAATATCTATAAACCAAATTTGGTATAGAAAGAAGAAGCCATACATTTAAAATAAATGTTCTCACAGTCAACGCTCAGACATCTTTATGGGAGTTAGCAATACAACCACGTGGACCAAAAAATTTTTTTTTCTCAGCCTGGTCATCTAAACCTGCTGGTTTCTTATAATAAAGTTCATTCCTTTTCCTCCTTCGAAGTATTCTAGCAATTCACTGTTTTCAATGCAGTACATCAGTACAATTTCTTTCTTATACATTTGAGCTGGTCACCAAAATGGCTCAGACGTTTGGCATGGAATGACCTCTAACTTAAATGAATTCCTGGCTTTTAGATAGCTATATTTTCAATGTACACTCAGACTTCATTTTAACAAAGTTGCATCTTACGCAAACATAAGTGTTATATCTGAAAATTCGTTATGAAGGTTTATTCCTAACACTATATTTATTGCAAGACTACTTGTCATTTGCTTCACTATAACTAGTATTCCGTTGTATCCGTGTTCGGTTCATCGAGGTTAAAATGTATTTAAATGAAAAGAATTCAAACTGCACTATTTGGTTAATCCTGTTATTTTATATATTGTGCTTATTTCGTACTAAAAATTTTAGCTGCCATTCTTCTTTCTTGCCAACTGCTTGCATTTGCATATTTTCAAAATCGCCAAAAATGAAGCATGATTGCCTCCCGGGACTTGTCAAACTACTAACCATAAACAGAAAGAAGAAGAAAAAAAGGAGAAAAGGGAAGTAAAAGATGTGGAAAAATGCACGTGGTAATCTGTTATCTCTCCTTTTATTATCATGTTTCTCCCGAGCTACATTTACCGTATAAACGCGTGTAAGGGCTGCACTTTTTTTTTCAGGAAGTGAGGGCTAATTTTCAGGGTGCGGCCCGTACACGGAACTTTTTTTTTTTTTGGTGAACTAAAAACAACTTACCAGTTAGTGAACGAATAGCGTTTATTGCAGTATGCCGCGTGTGCGCTTAATCGTCGTCACTCGACGAGTCCTCTAACTCGGAGTTCGAGATGGTGTGTTGCGGAGCACCATCATTCCACAAACAGTCATCTTCGGTGCCATCCAGGCTGTTGGATATCCCAGTGGCTTTAAAACTTCGGGATACAATGTCCGTCGACACCAAGCTCCACGCCGACAATACCCAACCGAGAACAGTAGCAAACGGTGCCCTCTTCAGCCGTCCGGTCGGCGTCTGCTCATGGTTGCCGGTTGCCATCCATTCCGTGTAGAGTCTTCAGAATTCAACTTTGAACAGGTCGATTCACGCTCACATCCAATGGTTGCAACATTCCTGTGAGGCCGCCTAGAATCACGGCCATGTCTGTGCCGACACGGCGCAGCTGCTCCTTCACCTTATCGGTAAGGTGGCCGCGGAAACTATCCAATACTAAAAGTGAATGTTTGGCCAACAAAGCTCCCGGTCTGTTCTGCCAAACACTTTTCACCCAGTCTAGCACCAAATCATCGTTCATCCATCCCTTCTCTTGGGCTCTATGATGCCCTTGGGGAAAACTTCGTTGGGAATTCTTTTCCTTTTCAAAACAACGTACAGGGGTAGCTTCCGCCCGTCCACGGTCACACAAAGCATCACGGTGCAGTGTTGGCGCTCAGCGCCGGTGGTCCGCACGGCGACACTCTTCTTGCCTTTTACTTCGACTGTGTAGTTCTCGGGAGAGTCAAACCACACAGGAGTTTGATCAGCGTTCGCTATTTGCGACAACAAATAACTGTGCTGATGGCGCAGGTCGATGACATGCTTGTGAAAACTAAGCACCTTGTTGTCGGTATAGTCTTCTGGCAGCCGCTGGCACAGCGTGGTCCTTCGCCGAAAGGAGAGTCCCTTCCTTTTCAGAAACCTTCGCACCCAGCCAGCACTAGCCTTGAAATCCCCGGCCGGTATATCTTTCGCACGTGCAAAGGCTAGTGCCTCATGCGCAGCATGTCTGTAGTGAGCGCAAAACCATCGTTCCGCACCTCAGTCACATAGCGGAGCAACTCTTGTTCCAAATCAGGATACTTGCACTGTTTTCCTCGAAAAGCGCGCTTTTTGATGCTGGTGTTCTGCAAGGCTTTCTTCTGGGCGCACCAACGTTGAACACACTTCTCGTCAACGTCGAATTTTCTGCCGGCGGCCCGTTTCCCGTGCTCGAGAGCAAACTCGATCACCTTCAACTTATAGCCAGCTGTATAGCTATTCAGCTGCTTGCCCATCGTGCCAAAACGTAAACGTCCCGCAGAAAACTATCAGAGTCCCAGAGTCATTCAATGGTGCGCAAAACTCGAGCACATGGCAGGCTGAACAGCACAATGACCGAACAACGCACAAATACCAAAGTTGGTGATGCTAATGCCGATATAGATAGCGTGTTTTTATAGAAGTGTCAAAAGTTAAAGATAAAATCCTGCTTTAACCTTTAGTTGGCGGGTGTACGAACACTACTGAAAAAACTTAAAATTTTTAGCCAACTTTATGAACATATTAGCATGAAGAAAACCAAAAATTATTCTAATGATGTACTATATGGTGATGATGAGAATTGCGTTCTCTAACGCCATCTACTGACAACGCCTAGTAGCTCATACAAGCGCGCGCATTTTGAATACGCATGGGTCAAGAAAAGTGCGGATGCGGCCCTTACACACAACTTTTTTTTTTTTTAATATGTGCTTCTTAAAAACAGGAAGCGGCCCTTACACGGGTGTGGCCCTTACATGCGTGTATACGGTATGTTCGCACCTGATAATTCAAATACAATTCTTAATTAAATCCTGCCCTCAAGTCGGAATTGCTGAGTTTGTTGTATATTCTTTAAAACATTGGGTTCCTCATGCTACCCTTTTTGTGGAGCTCACTGATAAATCAATTCAAGTACCTTAATTCTTCTCGTTAATTGTTTTCTTTGTCTTGTCATTTCAGGCAATCTTCTCCATGAGTTCTTCTAAGCTTCCGCAAACAAAGTATGTTCTCTTTTGTCTTTTTTGTCAGTTTATGTCTGCCTCAGTACAAAAGATACCTTTCGATGCATTTTAAACTGCTCTAGTGTTGTGCCAAATGAGATTGTACTCAATTGGAACAGTTTTGTCTGTTGGGCTTATCATACAGAGTAAGATCACATGATGCTAACCAGTTTGCAATCTGTCCCTGTATCCTAATGAAGAGTGAGCTAGATTAGCTATGATTAGCTATAGTCAGATACTACTTCAGATACTGGAGAGGCCCCGCCCAGTTGATCCAAGCCTGGCGGCTGATCACCTCCGCACCCAAAAAATAATCTCGCCTCTGCACTTTGCAATGTTTTCGAAAGGGAGCGTCCCGCCACCCACCTCGTGAAGCCAGTCTAGAGTATGCGTCAATTAGGGCGGGCTTGCATGCATCCGTTTTTGAGGAGGAGATGCTGCATAATTGTAAAGTTGTACCAGACTGTAGGTAGCTCGGTTCATTACAATCAGAGAGAGTAGAAACTTCAAATCTGCATCGTTTCTTCTCTGCCGCTGCTCATTGAGCAAAGCAAGTCCTTAAGCACCGGTTAAAGGCTAAACGCCAAACACCCGGTGTGCTTTGACTTAGGCACACGTTAAAGAACTCCAGGTAGTTCAAGTCTACGGACCCCTCCCTTGTGTTCCTTTGTTAGCATTGTAGTTTGGGACATAAAGCAGGTATTATTATCGTTACAATGAGGCTTGAGTTTATTCGTACGCAATTTAAAATGAATACAATCGTTATTTTATGTTATCTTTGTGTCTCGTGGCTTAAACACTTCTTTGTTCTATTTCAGGCATGATGCCAGGGAATTCATGAGAGACAGCAGAAACATCATGAAGGTGACAAATACAGGTGCGTAGAACACAGCGTATTTACTTGAGTCTGCACCGACCCTGATTCTAAGCTGACATACTAAAGTCGAAAGCCCGAAAAAACAAAAAGAAACAACTTACCTCGAACGTAAGCGGAACGAAACAGCAAAGACAGCACTCTCAAAGAGAAAACATTTATTGAACATAAAGATGAAACAAAGCATGCTGCAAATAGCTCAAGAAACATACAGGTGCTAGTCTTTTTTTTTTTTCCGCTTTGCTTCTAGTTATTTGCATCATAGAGATGCCGCGCTCATTCGGAGTCGTCGTGGTCGCTGACTTCTTTGTCGCTGTCTTCAAACAGTGCGCAATTCTTGGGGCCTTCAAGTGCATTGGATATGCCGCACTTTTTAAAAGAGTGCACAAAGTTTCTGGGATGTCGTCCTACGCTGCAGCCCCTCCAGCAACGCACATTTTTTATTGTCCACTATAAAGTCTGCCCAACTTGAATGTTGGACGATGACTCTACAGCTAGGACAACTTTCCTGTTATAAGTGGCACTATCATGCCATTGGGTGCCATTGAGCTACGTTACACACGCACCACTCGAAGCGCGTTTCGAAATGACAAACTGCTCGCCTCAACACTCACCTTAAAGATCAAAATGGAGGCCTCGAGTGTGTACTTTAGCCAGGTGCTGGCTCGACTACTAACAGCTATATGAAAAATGGCGCGTTTTTCAATATCCTCGAATCAATATATATATATTTTTTTCCTGGAAGTCGCTCTTCTCTTTACAATCGTGGTCGCGTTACAATCGAAGTGAACACGTCATAAGGTTTGCAACAACTAGGTACTTATTTCAGCAAAGTTGACTGTGTGAAATATTTATAAAGTGTTCAAAAAGCATTCATATTTACCAACAGCTCGCATTCGATTTCAAAGACAGGATCAAACGAGCTGCTATACTACTTGATTCATTGCTCAAGATTTTCAAATATTTGCACACTCCTTGCAGTAAAATAGGGATTTGCGAGATTTTCGTACACATTCTTGGCTGTACCGCATTGCTTGCTTATAGGCCTTCTCATTGCTGTTCTTGGACTTGGCGCCCAATCAGTTCATGAATTGGAATTTCCCTTCTTATAGAGTCGAGACGAGAAAAACTCAAGACGGGGCGGGTCAACGTCGTTTCTTTTCTCAGCCAGCTGCCCGAGACGCGCCACGACCCCAGTTCGTTCACCGTCGACATCCCCCTTGTGACGGTATGTTCTTTTGACCTTTTTATTTATGATGTTGTGTCGTTCTCTTTTAGCTGTGGACCAACAGTTATCATATGGCTTTGGCTTGCCTTTCCTTTTTCAAAAACTGTGCCCTCCACGTTTCAATTATATCTTGTCACCTGCACACCGTTAGTTACCAGGTTTGACTTGGTGCATAGCGATAACACAAAAAAGGACTGGAAATAATTGTGTAGCTTTGCCCCTAATGCTGTAACTTTTCTCATATACACTCAAACTTTGATATAACAAGCCTGCATATAACAAATTACAGTTATAACAAAGCAAATTACTTTTAAAAGTAGTGTTGCAATAGAAATTGTGTTAGAAGTAAACCTTTATGACCAATATTTGGATATAACGAACTTACTTTTGCACAAGATGCAACTTTGTAATAACAAGGTCTAAGCGTAGTGTGTTGCACTGTAAAAAAAAAAAAAGACAGCTGCGCCGATCGGGGGCACCCTTTTAAAATTTTTCTGTGCTTTCCCGATAGCAATTTCGTTGTGCTTATTTCTTCGCTGCATTTTATGCTGAGGTGCCGTTACAGGCACTCGTGGTGGTGTCTACTTTCTAACGACATAACCTTTATTTTTGCAGCCATCTTTGATGTGCTTCACGGTGTTTGGAATCTTGAGAGTCGGTGAGTGGCCATTTCTTGTTTTTTGTGTGCTTTCTAGACTCAACAATAATGGTTACAGTATTTTATTGAAAGTTGAACACACTTAAAAACGGCTTACCTCTAGTCTTCATTGGCCTCAAACCTGCAGCTGTGCTTACGAATTTGTTAAAAGTTTTATCTATCTTGATCAAACTTGCTGAGTTTATGTCTATGTATATCCCGATTTCAAATGCAATTATTTCTCTAGTACACAACAGTATATGCAGTTAACATATCATTTCATGTGCCTTTGTATGAGCAATAATTTTTTCCAAAACTCAGTCACAAAGTAAATTGGTATATCACGGTAATCTGCAATGGGGGCTGTGTACAAGAAAGCAAGAATGGATGCTATAAATGCATTTAATCAAAAAGTTCTACCGTATTTACTCGCATAATCCTCGCACTTTTTTTGCCGGAAAACCGATGAAAAGTTGGGGGGGGGGGGGGTGAGAGTTACGTGGGGAAAACTTTCTACGAAAACATACAGAGCGAAAAAGAAAACGAAGTGCCCGCAAATTGGGATTCTCACACCAACAACAAATTAAAACTTACCTCAACAATAAAAGCAAAGGTTCAACACAAGGCAAGATTTACTTGAGACACAAAAAGTGGAAGCAAATAGTCAAGAATTAGAATACCATACGCGAAGCTTGTGGGCGTTGCGGGCGTAGCGGTAGCGTTCGTCGCTCAACAGGAGCCCTCAAAAGGTAAGCGTGGGACGTCAGTATTGGGCTGATGGCTATATAACAGAATTGTCCGCAGTTTCCTTCTTGAGAAATAAAGTTTACCATCAATCCCAAGGGCCTACCGGCGGCTCTGTTGCCGGTCTTTAGTGCATGATCTATCACTTGTAACTTGGAAGCAGCCGTACAGCTTCAGTATCGCCTCATAACTTGACAAGGTTACCGACGCAACGTACAAAACACGCCGCAACGCGCACTGGCCACTTCGGCTTGGCTTGAGTTGGATTGAATCTGTGCAATAGTACGCTTGATGCTTAAGAGATGGCGCCAGATGACGTATACCATCATCATCAGTGGCTGGAAAGAGCAGACGACATTATTGCAGCAGTTTTCGGGGGTGCGATAATTACTCAAGGAAAAAAAAAAGAAAACGTATTTTTGTTGGGCGATGTGGGGGGTGCGAGAATTGTGCGAGTGCGAGGATTACGCGAGTGAATACGGTATATCAAACATTCGCAAGTGAGTATGATGTCGAACTGGGATTTGGGTCAGGAATGTACAGTACACCGTAAGTTTTGCTAAAATGTGCTCCGGTCTCTTTTCTATAATGTGCAGTTTTCATTCCATATGACTACGGTGATATGCTGCTTGCATTTGCTACTTCTTCACTTTAGGGAGAAAACTTGCTGCATCAAAAGAATGTGAATTGTTTGATATTCAGGAAGGGGCTCATTTCACTTGAAATAAAATTGAAAAGATGAAATTTATGCACCAATATACATGCAAGTTTAGCAGCATCAGTTTAGGATTTAAAAAAAAAACCTTTTAAAGTGCAGTGTATCCCCTTAAAAGTTTCTTACCACTGCAGTGTTCTCACGCACGCAAATACGTTTTGCTGTTACAAATCTGCTGCAAAGCTCACTGAATGGTTTGTTTCTTCTTTTCCTTTTTTTTCCCTGCATTCGTAGTGAACAATGGTCTCATCGTTCCACAAGTAAAGAGTTTCACAAGAACCTTCTTTGTCGTTCCCCAAGGTGCAGGGTAAGTCGGCAGCCTGACGTGTTTGCCTCATCAGTTTCCAATCATGCCTGTATTTTTTTTTTTTTTTCACTATTTGTTTTACTGTGATGCATCATGCTCACACTTTCCTGAAGAAGAGTTGTTCAATGTCAGGTAAAAAAAGAAAATCGTTCGAAATAATCATCCAGATTCTGGCCTTAAAAGTTGTTAGTCACATAAAAATGATTTTCTGACTTAGTTTCAGTAGACTGTACATATGTGGCTCTCAACATACCGCCAAATCCTGTTAAATGGAACCTTAAGAAATGGAAGTAATGTGTTTTGTTAGTGAGAGTTTTGTTTTATCGGAGTGAACCAGAGCACAGAAAACTGCCATATGCAGAAATTACCAATTAAAGATGGTTCAGTTTAAGTCAAGCCAAGTTTATTACATGTTTCAGATTCGGTTACATGGTTGGAATAGTACAGAAGGAGGTCCTAAACTGTCAGAGAAACTTACAGGGGGACCTTTTATGGCGACATGAATTGGGTAATTACAAACAAAAAAAAAGTGCATGCAAAAGGGACGAATTCGGGAGCCAATGATACGAGCTTAATTAACAATAACAGTACAATCATTGCATAACATGATGTAAATACTACTGATAAAATTAGACATGAAAATGTCTTATAGCAGGGGTTAAAACTAGAACAATGCAGTGTTAAAGAACTGTACGTGACAAATGCAACTAGTAGTTGCATAAGTTGTACATAGGCAAATGTTAATAATATAAAACTAACACAGATCTGTTGAAAGCTATTGACAGTTAATTCTTTAACCAAAGTACTGTTGTACATTTCATTTGATGATACAAACTTGCTAATGTCATGAATGCTGGGCGATGGACATAGTTTTAATGTACAATCAAGAAGTGCCATTTGTTCAAAAGGTCAGTTCAACAGGAAATTTGTAGCTCCATTTGAAAAGTGCTTTGAATTGTTTGTGGAATATACCGTATGCCTATTGTGTTACTATTATTTATTAATAATCTTGTGTTGTCATATGACGAACGTTACCCATCATGTGGGCTAACATTGCGCTGCATTTGTAGACTGCTTGAAGGTTGAAATATCCGATGCGAGAGATGCCTGGTATTCATTGTGCAGCTCATCACTTCTTGGCTCGTAGAATCACCTTGGAAAGATCCTTAAGAGCACGGTGTGACTGTTTTTCTTTGCATTGTCGCAGGTTTTCCATCATCAATGAAACACTCTTTGTCACGGGTGGAACTGATGATCAGATCAAGGTGGGTAAGCTCTTCTCACATTCTAGTGTTGTTTTGTTTGTTTTTTTCACCTAGAGACAAAAAAAAAGAAAGAAAAATACCACCAGTTGTGTTCGATATACCTTGAACCTTGTCCGATATACCTTGAATGCCGCCATGGTCGCATCCCTGTTGTTACCGTGGTAAAGGTTGTTGATTTCTCCTCATACGTGAGTTCGATTCGTGTGCCGAACGTTCCTTTGCCATGCGATTGCGCAACCACTCTTTGCCACTTAGTTTCATCTGGTCTGCATTCACAGTCGGCGAAAAACATGTGAGAAAAGACACAGGGCATCAGTGCGAATGTTCTGTGTGTGTGTCTTTTCTCTTGCCTGTGTGTGCGTCTTGTCTGGTACGTTTTCAAGTTCCACGCCAGAAAACTTTTTTTTGGTGCTTAATCGGCTGGCCTATTACCAACATATTTCTTTCGTTAAAGGGCAAAGCTCCTTATGCTGTGGGTCGTTCCCTTCTACGTAGTACAGTTTAACCCCTTTATAAGAGGCATGCTCCAGGCAGCACTTCTTGTCTTTTATATGAGATGTCTCTCATAAGCAGGGTACTACTTATGCATTTTCGTATCAACTCGTATATTACTGTAGGCAAACTGGTGTCTCTTATACCCATTTGTCTCTTATAGCCGTGTCTCTTATAATGAAGTTTGAAAGTTTATTTAACATAAGACATGTATTGATTACAAGAAACACACTTTTGGGACCCAGCAGATCTGTTGAAGGGTCCCTACCAAAGATATCTGTAGTAAATCATTCAAAGCAGCTGTTCAAAAAACACTAAAAAGGAACAGGAGTGTCTAAATTATGCAAAATTAACATGTACTGTACAAAAGAAAATGTCAGCAAATTAAAGTTTTTCCAGCAATACCTTTAATGAAATGCATCTTAAAGGAAAAGGAGGAAAGAAAAAAAAAGAAACAGAAAACTGTGCTGTACTTAGTAGTGGTAGTATATAGCCACCTCTAGATTGTGAGTTGTTTAGTAGATGGCATTGTGTATACACATGTTTTAAGAATAGTGTAACTAGATGAACGAAGTGAATGATGATGAGTGGGGCAAAGCATCCGTTTGTTTGCACGTCCGTCCATCCGCCCGTGTTTGTACTTCTGCCCGTGCTTCTGCTGCGTCCGACGAGCAGAGGGACACACGGACGGACGGTTCGCCCCACTCATCATCATTCCCTCCGTGGATATGCTATAATTTTTTGTACACTCAGCTAGTACTAATTCCTCAATATTGTGTGGAGATATGTTGGGTATAACAAGATCTGGTGAGTAGCAGTTTTGTGCAGTGTTTCCTTCTTTTCTTGCAGTAATTGAAGTAGTAGCACAATTTGAACAAGCCAGAGTTTTGGAATGTCGCGTTTCTGCCGTCTCCGTAACAAAATCACACAAAATCTATGTAAAAGAATAGTATTCTGAAATTGTTTAGGACGTTCTCACACCGCTATCTAAATTATCAGCTTTTCCAGGCTTTCGATTTATGCAACAGAAACAAGTCACAGATGGAATTGCTGTTTTTTTGTGTGTGTGTGTGTGTGGTGTGTATTTAGCTTTGTGACGCGCTGTACAGCTGAACATCTGGCTTTGCTTTTAGTATCTTTATGTGCACGCTTTATGTGTCATGTAGAGAGTCCTGTCAGATTGGAACACATCAACGAAACTTTTGAGTATAACGTCTGGTTTGCACAATTGCTCGAGGCAGTCGCATTGTGTCCCTGCGGATGCGACTGCTAGATGTAATATGGCTAAAATCTAAGCAGCTGAGTTTAAATTAGGCAGACAACACGAACTGAAGACATAGGTGGAGACTATAACATGCATTGCTTAGCCCTGAGCTCTTGTGTTTCAATCTGTGGACACTGTAGTTGTGTCGCACATCGTATGATTTATTGCCAATCATTTGTTGTTGTTTTTTCTCATTTCTGGTTTACTATTCGCAGCCACATTTCCGCTAATGTAATGCCCTACAGAGCTCTTGGCATACCTAAAGAAACATGCCTTGTCAGTGCTACTTTAAACGGTTGTGGGCAGTTGTTTACGAGGTACCAACCATCGGTGCCATGTTTCTGCAGGCATACCCCACACCTGAAAACACGCTGCCGGCCCCTACGCCGACCCCGTCTCCGGTGCCGACTCCAGTGCTCACACCGGCAGCACCACTTGCAACGAACGAGCGGGAGAGTATATTGGTGCAACTGTGCGCAGAGACGCGGATGAACAGGGCTTTCGCAGAAAGGTCAGTATTTGTCGTTCACAGTAAAACTTGTCACTTGAGCTCACACAGCTTGAACTGTCACAAAAACTCAACTCCTCAGTTCCCCATTATACTTCCAACAGTGGATGATTTCTAACCTGAGCATAAATCTGTCTAAGATAGATAAAGATTTCTTTGGCAGCTCTTTCTGACTGCTTATAATCACTGGTGTTCCTAATTTTGGTCACTCGCAGTCAAGCAGATTGGTAGGGCTGCTTAATTTCGATGTGTTTACCCCACTCATCATTTTTTCCCAAACCCTCCCCCCAAAAAAAGAAAAGCTCCAACGACTGAGTTGTGAGTGGGCAGTTTTACATTATTTCGGAGATACTATATTGTATGTCATCTTTTGTTCATCTAACGTGTATGCCTAAAGCTTCGTCATATAAGACACTCTACTCCCCTTCATTGCCTTTCTGTTTTGTGTGGCAAGTAAACAGCGTACTGTCTGAAATAGTGTCCGATCTTGCGGCGCTTTCTCTGGAAAGCAGGCAGAAATTTTCAAAGCGACTTTTTGACCTATGTTCGTTGGCCGATTCGAGGGAGGGGGATGCTCGCAACACTGCTTTATTGCCCGCAACCTGCAATGACAATCGTGCCAGTGAAAGTTGAAAACTGGAACCACATGAAGTTTCTGCAGGCTCTATTAGGATTTGTTCAATAATAAAACAATTACTGGTAACAGTCACTTAGAGCTTACAAATTGTCAAGTAAAGTGTTATCACCCCAATCCCGCCAGCTGTGTTTAGTAAGCCTGGGAAACCATTGCAGTCGAGAGGAAAACTTTGGTCAGTTACCAACACTGGTGTCGGGAAATGGACTGTAGTGGTTCCATTCATGCTAAGTGTTCAACTTGAACAAACATGACACATGCTTGATAGAAAAGCAGCAGGTTCCTGCCTTTTTTCAGTCATGTTTAGGTGGTCGGGTGGCTCGCGCTTTCACAGCGTAGGCAGGCAGAGGAACGGGTTTTCGGCAATACGAGCGGGTGCCTCTTTGAATGCATGATAAAAACAGCCAAAATTGCTCTCTGATGCAACGCAAAGCTGTCAAAAGTGCATCAAATACACTTTTAAAGTATTTGAATCCTACATGCAAGTTTTTGTTCCTGCCAATAGATCGAACCGCATCGCTGTTGGGTGACGCTAGCGGTTGTACTTTCAAAACTTTGAGAGGCAAATTAACAATATAATTCCCTTTTTATTCAATAAAAAGCATGCTTGTTGCCGCCGGCTTGACGAAAGGTCTTCTTGATTTCACTGCTGTACAAAAATTTTCTGATTGGCAACATTCTGTTTGAAGCTCACGTAAATGGCTATGCAAATGTGGCAATCAACTTTAGTGCTTTAATGTGAGAACATTTCCACTTTTCGTTCTGCAAATTTTTAAAAAATTGCTTTTCATTACAGGTGTATGGAACAGAACGAGTGGAACTTGCACAAGGCACTCCTAGTATTTGCCGAACTGAGCGTAAGTTTGCATGCAGGCATCTTTTCTTGTTGAAAACTCAGTTCTGTGGTGCTGGTAAAAACACCTTGATGGCCCATGAGTGAACCTTCTGTATATGATGGAATAATGAATATACAGCAGACTCTCAGTAAACGGAACCTAGAAAATATGTTTCATCTAACAGGAGTTTCGTTTACTGAGAGGTGAACATGGGTGCAGAATACAAGCCCGAAACCAAGCATTGTAGAAGGAATAGTTCTGTTTAAGCAGTAGTTTTGTTTACCGGGAGTCTACTGTGCTAAAGGAAGTGTAATAACACTTGTGGTCAACTTTTACGTTTGTGTTTCAATGAGTAATAGCTCTGAGTAAGGTATTTTCATGTCGATTACGTGATTTGCTCGGGACCAACTTTTATTATAAATCACTCATTGCAGTATTCACAGAAGCCAATAGGGATATGATTCATACCTGCCAATGGTTGCCTTGCATTTAAGCTTCTTTCTTTAGTGGGATTTAGTTTCTGTGAAGTTTATTTCATGTTTTCAGGATTACAAACCTGACATGTTATAATTATTGACTTGCCAACGATTTCTGAATATATCAAATTGAAGCGTGTTTCTAGAGCACTATGCTGATCTTGTGCTCAGTTCATGTTTAATACATCATGTACATTTAGCATGAAATTCCAGCTCTTGGTGCTGCATTTACTTTATTACTATATGCAAACTTTAGGTGCCAATGTAAACATTATAAAATGCCTTCAGCTAACTTTCTGCATCTGTTACTAACCTAATTACACTTTTTAAAATGCATAAGCCTGTTCCAATTGTCTCAGTGGTCACTACACAGGGCCATGCCGTTTGGAACATTCCATATGCATACTGCTAATTTGATTTGTTCTCCATGAAGATTGTTACAAAACTTTATTAGTATTATATAAAATATGCATAAATCTATAAAATTGCGTGGGAAAACCTTGGACCATCTTCCTGAAAGGAACCCTGATGGAATGCAAAGTAGGAGCGTTGCACACTGGTGGCATCACGGGTTGAACGGCGCTAACGCTAGTGCTGCGGTGAGCGCTGGAATGTTCGTTTGAAGCAATGGCTGGCCTAGCTTTTGTAGGTGCCACATGTTTCAACATGTACGTTAGGTGCACGTCAGGTTTATTGTACGTAAACCGACAAGTCTGTGGTGTAGCGAGAGGAGGTTGCGGCAGGTGTTGGGGGCAAACGGACGAGGCGGTAGCTGCAGGTGCCACAGCGAGCGCACGTGACGTCAACATGCAGCAGTGGTGTGACCTACTTGGCGCCGTGCCAACACCTGCGGTGTGTTAGTACGGAGGGAAAGCGAACCTATTGGAATGGCATTTGGAATGAACCTGTAGGAACATGCTTTTTGTGTGTGTGTATAAAAATGGGGATATCAATGTATGTGCCAGCTTAGTTTGGCATATTTTGGCGTTATGCCAGGCTCATGTATTCCTTGAGGTGGTGTGCTCTGTGGCTAACTGCAACATCCTCTTTTTTTTTTTTCCCACAGGCTCGAGGAGCAATACCCCCAGAGGCATTTCAGAGCTGAGCGCATCATCCTCAACCATGGCTATCATAGTTAATGGCAATAAGGCGAATGGGCTGAGAGCAGCTACTGTTAACTTCATGTAAATAAATGCTTTTTAAAGAAACATCATGTAAATAATAAGCCATCAGGCGATACCCAAGTGTTAATGATGTACATAGGATGGAAAGAAGAAAAAAAAACAGGTGCGCAACAAATCTTGTGACACAATAAACACATCTCACTAAATGTTGTCTTGTTGGTGTCATCAATGCTAAGCAATAACTTATGGTAGACAGCTGGGCCAGATAAAGTGACTCTATAAAACCAGCACATGGAAAGTAAGTATGAAAAGAAAATAGGGTAGAGTAGTGCGCAGTGGCAACAATGCTCTTGACCAAATATGGCAATGTAATTTAATAGACGCACTTCACACTGTGGCTCATTAAAGTCACGCGAGAAATCTCCAATCGCACAACATTATGACTTGTGCAACATGCTTTTTTGCTTTTAAGTGTTGCAGAGAGTATGACGTGCTGTCAGCTTCGTGCTTTAGAAAGCGAACGCCACATGTAACAGGCAAGCTGGGCACAAGGCAGGCCTTTAAACATGCCTGAGTGGGTTGGCCCCTGTGGCTGAAACAACCTTCTCCTGTTCGTTCTTTTCTCCGTCTGAGGCTTGTGTTAAATGCCCCACTTTCGCTGATCAATGAAGGCCACAGCAGCAAGTAACTTGTAGACATGTCCACTGTTAAAAGGAACACCTGAGCGCACAGCATGCTCAGATTTTGCAACCCTGCGGAAAGATAGTAGCTTACATATGCATAAGACACATATGCATATGCATAAGATGGTTGGAAGTTCCAACTCCTTTTGACTCACTGGGCATGTGCTTGCAAATTGTTTTCGTAACCACGTGCTGTTAGAATGCGAGCAGTGTTGGTGTGCATTCGAGTGTTCCCTTTAACAGTGTTCGGTACTGTACAATAAAGGCAGCAGCAGTGAGCGAAGTGGCTATGCTCTATGGCTCCAATGCAAACGTGGCGATTAAAGATCAGAGAGTGCGTGCCTACGAGCCATCTCTTATCATCCCGATAAGTCTAAATCTTTGTCTGACGTCACATCTTGCAACGACGTGTCCAGTTTGCGTATTTCCCGAGCTAAAGATTCCCTGTAGAGTTGGCTTCCCCGCAATCAAGGGTCGAAACGGGTGAAAAATGTTGGGGCCCTTATCACCCCCGATAAAGCTAAACTTTTGTCTGACGTCACACCTTGCCGTGGAAGGCGTACTGTGCATTTGTTCTGGCTAGATGGCGCTATAGCCGGCGCCCTATTTAAAAGGTCCAGCAATATCAATCTATCAATCCAGCTATAAGGCCCCTGGTGCGTTGGCTTCCCCGCAATGGTTGGTCGAAACTAGCGAAAAAAGTTGAGGCTCTTATCATCGCCGATAAGGCTCAACTTTTGTCTGACGTCACACCTTGCAACGATGTGTTCAGTTCGCTTATTTCCCGAGCTAAAGCTTCCCTGAAAAGTTTGCTTCACCCCAACGAATGTCGAAAAGTCGTCGAAAATGTTGAGCCTTATCAGTGGTGATAAGGGCTCCAACTTTTTTCGCTTGTTTCGACCATCCACTGTGGGTAAGCCAACTTTTCAGCGAAGCTTTATCTCGGTAAATACTCAAACTCGGCACATCGTTGCAAGGTGTGACGTCAGACAAAAGTTGAACCTTATCAGGGGTGATAAGAGCCTCAACTTTTTCGGCTTCTTTCGACCAACCATTGCGGGGAAGCCAACGCACCGGGGGCCTTATAGCTGGATGAATGGGTGAATGGATGGATATATTGATATGACTGTACCGTTTCGATAGGGCGGCAGCTTACGCCACCTAGCCGGAACAAACGCACAGCCCACGCTCCACGGCAAGGTGTGACGTCAGAAAAAAGTTGAGTCTTATCAGGGGTGATAAGTGCCCCAACTTTTTTCTCTGGTTCTGACCAGTTATTGCGGGGAAGCGAACCTTTCAGGTGAAATTTAGCTCGATAAATACTGAAAGTTGACACATCGTTCAAAGGTGTGGCGTCAGACAAAAGTTGAGCCTTATCAGGAGTGATAAGGGCTTCAACTTTTTAGACTGATTTTGGGCATGTTTTACGGTGAAGCAAACATTTCATGGGGAACTAAGGCGGAAGCCACGCAGCTTGGTCGGTCTGTTATAGTCGAAAAAGTTGAGGCTTTAACTGAACGGAGGAAGGGGGGGGGGGGAGGATAGATGGTGTACTGGGCCTCCCTTCCCCGAAATTTTGAAATGCACTTTCCAGGTGATACCTATATATATATATATTATTATATATATCTATATATATATATAATATATATATATATATATTATATATATATATATATATATACTTTTATATAATATATATATATATATATATATATATATATATATATATAATTTTTTATTAAAAATGGACAGGCTCGGCCGTGATATCTCTGGACCCAACGGCCTCAGGTTCTAGGTTGACAAAAATTTGTGTCGACACAAACACTCGAAATTCCTCAGCAAGGTCATGGCAGGCCTTCTTACGTCTCAGCAATTCAAACCATCAACCTTTTTGTTACGAACTGAGCATCACACCCGCTCAGCTACCGACACGACACAAAATGCACCGATTAAAAAGTGTGTGCACGCATTACCGCAGCTTAGGGTTTCAAATAAAGAGTGCCCTTGCGTGTTGTAGCGTCCGTACAGATACCATCGTCACCGGCCTGGTTTTTCTTTACCCTGTTCTTTTTTTTTGTCAACGCTACCATCTGGACATAAGGCGCGTTACTGACACCGATATCAGTGTCGCCAACGGATTTTAACTTTACTCCCCCTCATAGCATCACCCCGTGCATTCGCACTTAACCATGTTCACCCTCGGGGAAATGCTTGGGAGTTTTTTTCTTTTCTGAGTCATGCTGGCAGTGCTGCGGAGGGGTGACAACACCTGGGAGCACACATCACTAGGCTTGCCACCTATCCAGTGGCGTAGCGAGGGGCTGGCACACTGGGCCCATTGCCCCCCTCTCAATTTTTTTTCGCCATGGCATACATAGCGCAAAACGACCACAGGTCTACCCTCCGGTCTCCACTTCAGATCCAAGAGGTCCCCCCCCCCCCCCCAGAAAAAAGTTTTTGCATACGTTTCTGCACCTTTCTTGGGAGAAAAGAAAAACGCCCATCTGCGGAGGGTGGAGCGAGGGGGTATCAAAGGGTATTGTTGTACCTCTCAACATCAACATAATAATGCACGCACATACAAACATACAAAGACAGCACTGGGCGAAAAACTAGTCTGCTGGCTAGGGCACGGTTATTTTAATGTTCGTACTAAGTCACACGAGCGTTAATGGGACTAAGTATGCTGAACAAAAAAAAATATTTGCCACCGATCTCAACAAAATTGGGTGCCGATACCCGCACACACAATCCCTTCATTTTAGAAATAAGCTCGCGAAAAACGATTATCATAATGCGTTTTTTACACAAACTGCAATGCCTTGAGCTTCCTTGAACGGCCGCGCCTTGAACTGGCGGGCTAACAATACTCCAACCGCTTCTCTCCCCCACTCAACCCCTTCCATGGTTCCCAAACCACTATGCGCGGCCCCTGGAGCGAGTAATGTTCCCAGGTGGAACAGAGCTTCTCAAGAAGGGGTACCGAACTGCTCGCTGGCGTATTTGTGTCAACTTCCGCCATATTCTTGCTTGCGATCCCGGTGACTTGTGTGTTGGCTGTAGATTTAAACAGCTCTTTTGTTGCTTAAACCTCAAATCGATGCGACCCAACGCGACTTAACAGCTGCCTAACGGGCCACTTCGCATTCAAGCGAGTTACAGCGCTCGCTTGTTGGAGAACTGCAGTCAGTTACAACCTTACAAGCTCTGCCCACAGACTTCGCTGTTTTCTCCATAGTTCCTCCAATAGATACTTCAAAAGACCCCGCAACACAGAAAAATTATCAGGAAACGCTGCCAATCGCTAGTAGAGTCTACTGAAAACACGTGAACTAAATATTGCAACGCAGCCAGTAATTTGCATTTGCAAGTCAGCCTATCGATAAATTCCTTCTTTGTCTATCGACCTACGATGCCGTAAATCCAAAGTATGAGTCAGAGAACACCTACCACTTTCCCACGTCCATTGGCGCATTTGAGCCTCGTGAGCGGTGTAGTTACCGCGGCCGCAGCGGAGTGGCACCACATGCCCGCGCGCACGATCACACTCAATGAAGGCCGAGCGCTCGAAAGAAAAAGAATAAAAAGACGAAAAATAAAGCGCTCAAAGCCCTTATGCGCGCCGACGACCGGATCCCCCACCCTTCTTTCCCCATTTTCACCCTCCCCATCTGCGTAGCTTTAAAGGCACTCGTTTGTAACGATAGAGAGAGAAAGCGTTTAAAGCGCGCGGGAAATATGCAACTCGATGGGCATTAAGCCCCCTTATCAAATCCTTTCGATCATTATCTGGAAAGTGTTCTAAAGAGATGGAGCCGATAAATGGCATAGCTGCAACTTGCACTGTTCGCGCATATATGCAGTTCACACGCGCTCGTGACGACATGATTCCACACGCGCGTTTCACCATAGATAGCAATAAAATTTCGAAGAATGTACTCACACTTGCTTGTTCCTTGTATGCTGTGCCTGATAACAATAGCAGCCTCCGAGAACTGTTTGAGTGCCAACTCATCATCACGAAAATTAACCCTATAGATATATGCGATATGTGTTCGTCGTGAATTGAGTAAAATGCACCCTGTCGCCATTCCTACTGCCCCTCGACCCCTCCTTGCTACGTCCCCCCCCCCCCTAAAAAGGAAAGCAATTATGAAGCAATAAACACTTACCTAGACCGAGAAAACATCACATGGCCTGGCTTGATATAGGCTCGAGTAACAGCAGCATCAAAAACAATGCTTTGATGCAACAGTAGTGGCTGGAAAATTTTTATTCAGTCCACAATTCTTTTCACTCTTATCGAGAAAAAATATATATAGCAAGACGAGTTATACATCTCCTTAAAAAAGTACGCGTTAACATTTGTACCATTGTTTACATAATGAGGAAACCGTTCTTGGTGTAGAACGTTGTCTTCTGTCCTTTTTAAGCTTTTGTAAGTGTCACACACACACACACGCACCGGCCACCTGGTTCTTAGTACCGGAATACAACACGCGCGCACGATCAATTTCTCACGCGCGACGCAATCTGTTCTCCTCCGACGTCCCGTACATCGCGTCGATGTCTCGCTGGTAGAAGACCTGCAGCGGCTTCCTGCGAATCTTGTACGTAGCCGTCACCAGCCCCGTGTCCGGTTTCCATTCTTCCACGCACAGCTTGACCTTGCCGGGCACCTCGGTTTTCAGGAGACCGCTGCCCCGCGCGTACTCCAGGATCGCTTCCTCGGCTGCCTTGGTAACTTCGGCGTCCTGACAGAGGTCTTTGACCGTCGCGTTGGCCACGAAGTCTTCGTCCCTGCCCAGACGTCGAGCGATGCGCTGAAGCTGCTTCAGATTGGGAGCCACGACCGCCACGAGGTAGGTGTGCAGCGAGTTGCCGTAGACGAAGAGGTTGTCGACGAGCGTGCAAGTTTTCAACACCGACTCGACCCGACCCAGAGAGATGTACTCGCCGAACTGCAACTTCACAAGGTCCTTCTTGCGGTCCACAATCTTGAGCGTGCCGTCGGGAAAGATCTCGCCGATGTCGCCGGTGTAGAACCAGCGAACGCCACCTTCTTCCCTGAAGGACTCCTTCGTGAGCTCCTCGTTCTTGTAGTATCCCTTGGTGACACATGGCCCGCCGACGACGATCTCGCCCCGGGGGTTTGGCGTGTCCGACGTCCGGTAGTTGCCTTCTTCCCAGTCAACAAGTCGCAGGTAGCAACCCGGGAGCGGGGCACCAACGCGGTCTGCGCTCACGTCCTCGGCGTTCATGATGCTCGCCGCGCCACTAGTCTCCGTCAGGCCGTAGCCCTCGATTACTCGGCCGCCCATGCAGGCCCTCACGAAACGGCGCGTGTGTCTGGACAACGGAGCCGAGCCGCAGGCGAGGACCTTCAGGTTGGGCCCTAGCAGGAGCCGGACATGCTTGAAGACCAGCTGGTTGAGGATTGGCGTGTCGAAGCCCAGGTCGAGCCAGAAGTTCTTGTACTGAACGGCGTAGTCGAACAGGGCCTTGAAGAAGGGTCCCTTGGACGCGGCCACTTCGTTGACGCCCTTGCGGAGACGGTCTACTATGAGGGGCACGCAGGCGAATACGGTGGGCTGCAGGAGCGTCACGTCGCCGCGACAGCCCTTGGCCACGGCGGACGCGTTGTCAGTGATGGTGAACGGTGACGAGTAGCCGATGCGGGCGCCCGCGCCGATGAGCAGGGTCTCGGCGGCTAGCTCGAGCATGTGAGCCAGCGGGAGGTAGGCGAGGTAGACGTCGTTGCAAGTGTAGGCGCCGAACTTGCTGCAAACGACGCCGAAGCCGTTCATGGAGGAGATGAGGTTCCTGTGGGAGGCCATGACGCCCTTGGGCGTCCCCGACGAGCCACTGGTGAACATGACGATGGCGACGTCGTCGGGAGAGGGCGAGCACTGCTCCTGCTCGTGGTCTTCGCCCCGTTCTTCGAGGCTTGAGAATGGGATTACCTGCGACAGGAAAAAAAGAGTTGCGTTAATTGTACCGAGAACAAAATGAATCGAACGAAGAAGAAAAGAAAAAAAAACTTAAAGCGGTAAGTAAAATCCGGTTTCCTTTATATACATAGGCGAACCAGAAGTGGGTTAGGTAAAAAGATAATATCGAAGCATGAACGCAGCTTAAATAAAACCAGCCGACAATGAAGCCAAGAAAAAGTTCCGGAGACATATGTAGTCTATTAATTGTGATTAACATATACAAACATTCAAAGTGGACATGAAGACAACTTGCCACAGGTAGCAGAACCCAGAACCCTCCTTTAATTTCCGTCTGTATAGGTGTCGCAATAATGAATAGTACAAGATTGCTGCGGCAAACTATTCAGACGTATGCCTCGTGCCGGTGACAAAGCTCGACAAATGCCAAGTGTCACGGAACCGACTTCAGTGCCAAGCGCGGCAAACTACAACTGCTCTGCTTTTTCAAACAGAAATATCCCACCGCCAGAGACGGTTTCAAGGTTACAAGCGTTGTACCCAAAAAAACTTACGGTCACCTCATTTACCAGCTCCTAGCGTCGAAACTGAAAGCACATTTTACAGTTCGGTTCAAGGGTAAGGAAAGTTCTCTTTCGTTTTTCACATAAAAGGAACGTACAGAAAGTAGAAGGGAATCTTAAATTTTTATGTAGCTCAAAAGAACATTTATTTGAATATATTTTTGCCAAATAAGGGAAGGAAACTAAAAAAATCAGGGGGATATATTTTGAAGCTCTTGTTGTTCACCGAAGTTATTCAGGCACATCGGTGGACAACGCCGGAGCTCATCAAGGGCATCTGTTTGTAAACAGTGAAAGGGTCTATAGAATGGTCGGTCACTCAGTTGCACCACAGAAAAAATCTCGGCATATTCACGGAGTGAATGACGATGAGTGGGGCGAAAGCGTCCATCAGCCCGACTTTGCTTCCGTCCGTCCATTCAGTCTTGCTTCCGTCCGTCCGCACGACCATCCGTGCGTCCATTCACGCGTCCGTCCATCTGTCCATGCGTCCGTCCATCCATCCGTACGTCCGCACGTCTATCCATCCGTCAGTTTGTCTGTCCGTCCGTGCATCCCTCTAGTGAACACTCCAAGTACCGCCACCTCCCATCCCCTGTGGCACATACCCGCTCTGAGCGGGTATGTGCCACCGGTGGCTACGTATTACTACATACATACAAGGGATGGACAGACCCACGCCTTAAGGAAGGAGCTTCACCTCTAAAGGAAATGGCTTTGCATAGACTCAGTAGTGCTACCCTTGTGCGCATTCAAAGTGCGTCTGCGTTTATGATGTCGCAACGATTCTAAGGGATCATTGCAACGGGTTGACGCGAGCGAGAGCCGAAAGAAAGTTTTCTCAGAACAACCCCGTGCAGTTTGTCGGTGTTTCGGGAATTCTCCCCCTGTGCTATAGTGTCCTGCGAGGTCAAAAGAAAGTAATCGTGTGTTGGATACCGATTTTCAATAATGCTGCAAACCTCCACGCAAAGTATGCATTCGAGTGTCGCTGTGAGATCGCCGAGCCAGCGAACGGAACCTACATTTTTGAGCCGATTTCGCGCGCGACACGGAATAACGTGACATGCTTACGTCACTGCTAGATCTGCGAATCGCCGCACGTCTGACTGAACAGGTACAGCTTTACGTAGCAGTGAAATAAGCGTGTTACGTTGTTCCGTGTCGCAAGCGAAATCACATCGAAAACGAAGGTTCAGTTCGCGGGCGCAGCGCTTCCCGAGTCGCAGGCAGCACTTGAGTATGCACTGTCTCTCTGTGTGCACTTGAATGCATACTTTGCGTCGAGGTTCGCGACATGAATGAAAATCGGTATCCAATACGCGATTACTTTCTTTTGTCCTCGCGGGACACTATAGCACAGCGTGAGAATCCCTGAAACACCGACAAACTTCACTGGCTCGCTCTAAGAAAACTTTTTTTTCGGCTCTCGCTTGCGTCAACGCGCTGCAATGATCTCTAAGAATCGTTGCGACATTGTAGGCGAGAACGCACTTTAAATGCGCTCAAGCGAGAGAAACGAGAAAAAAGGAAGGCAGGGAGGTTGACCAAATGCTAGTATCCGGCATGCTACCCTACACTGGGGTTGGGGAATAGGGGGTTGAAAGAGAAAGGGAGAGTTAAAAAATAAATAAGAGAAAAACACCGACACACACACGCACACACAAAATCAGTCCACTCAGAGGCGTTCCGACAGGCCAGTAGTTCGCAAGAAGCCCAGTAGCGCTTGCACGGCTTTCTTCTGTGACGATGAGTCATGACGATGGCGCAGTATACTTTCTTCTGACAGCGGCTCGTCATCTAACCTGTTTAGTGTATTAGAAAGGTGTTGTCTTTCCAGGTTGTATTTCGGGCAGTCACACAGGATATGTCGAATGCGCTCAAGGTTAGCACTATAGTCAGTCTACACAAAGCCATTGCTTTTTTTCTGTGGTTCTTTACTGGCTAAGCTAAACGTGCGTGCAACTGAGTCACCGACCATCCCAAGGAGGTGGGCTGTTTCTGTTTAGAAAGCATGCAGAGCACGTATGATTTGTCACAGCTGGCGCTGAAGTCGGTTCGCCATGAATTAGCTTAAAGCACGCCCCCCCCCCCCCCCCCCCGACTGACTGGGAAACACCGACGCATTATGGACAGTATTGGGTAACACCGGACGCGAGACAAGCACGTTCGCGCGCCCACGTGCGTGCTTCGAAAGTCAAATAGCAATACGTCGATCCTTCAAGGACGCGAATCATTGTTCTTCGCTTATTGATTTGCTGAAATCCCCGGCGACACTACTTTGACGGCACCTGCGTTGCAGGAACACATTTCATACTGACTCTAAGCTTCTTACACGACATGAGAGCTTTTGCTTGAAATAAAGCACCATGAAAATCGGTGTTGCCTAAATTACGAAACGCACCTTGCAGAAGCGTCCGAAAGATAGGGTAAGAACTGCCCCTATATAGAGCATTGACAAATTGACGTTTGCATTAGTAAATTTTCTATTGTTTTATCGTTATTGACAACTTCGCGAGCAAGTTATTATGTAAGAAAAAAAGGAGCAACCTCCGCGACACCAAAACGCCAACAAATCCTTAAACACGTTTAATGACAATTTCAAGAAACCCGCACATGTAAGAGTTATGCACACATATTGTAAGTTAACGTGCGGTTCACGAGCCACCTTCAATTGATGAAACGGGCAAATTCATGCGTCAGCAAAGCGTCAATGTCCCCAGACAAAAATGAAATAAAGTTCATAGAAAGCACTTCTTAAGCCATCCTTAGTATTGGTAAAGTTTCTTAATAAATAAGCAGACTTATCCGTAGCTTTTGGGGAAAAAAAGTTTGCTCCGTGTTCGGGAAGGTTTGGCTGAGTGGTCTCGCGATACGGGGCTGGCTTTCATTGGCCTATCTGGAGGCGGAGCGGTTTAAATCTCCCCGGTCCTTTTCAAAAATTTGAAAATTTGCATTACACACGCATGCATACGAACGCGATTCGCTGATGATATTGCCCTGACGAGTAACTCAGGGGACAAATTACAGCTCATGATTACTGAACTGGACACGGAAAGCGGAAAAGTAGGTCTGAAAATTAATATGCACAAAACTAAAGTAATGTGCATAGTCTTGGCAGAAAGCAGCGCTTCGGGATAGGTGGAGAGACGGTGGAAGTTACAAAACACTCCCAAGCATTTCTCCGAGGGTGAACATGGTTAAGTGCTAATGCACGGGGTGATGCTATGAGGGGGAGTAAAGTTAAAATCCGTTGGCATTCGCCAGTGAGTTAACGTAAACTCCCCCGTGTGATCAAATTGCGATTCCCAGGAACCATTAGATCCTCTCGGGAAATCTTGGTGAGTTTACGTGTATATGTGAGAGTAAATTCGCACTATAATGATGTTTACGTCCGCGGCCCGCTTCACCCGCTTGCGCTCGGCATCACGGGCCATTCGCCGCGCTGCCTTGTCTTCAAACGGCGCGACATCTTCAACGACGCGTGCAATGCTCGCATTCGATTGCATTGTACTCGTTGTTGGAGGTATCGCAGTCGAGGTTGGTGCCTAGCAATGGATCCATACCTATGACGACTTGCCGATTTCGAGCAAGTCGTCATAGCAAGTCATCCAGCAAACAGCGAGCGAGAAGTGAGAGCGAGCGGCAGCCGCGCACACAAGGACGGCGGAGCGAAACATGATTGGAGGGAGGGGAAGGCGGTGGAGAGACACGCGCGAAGGTGCAGTACCGGCAAGAGGGAACTGTCAGGCGAGGGGAGAAGCGCGCGCCGAGAGTGAGTGCAAACTTAACGGGGGAGAGGCACGCCAGCTGCATGGCACCATGACGTCACGGCGCGGAAGAGGGGTGCGAGGAGGCGGCGCGGCGCGCGCAGCCACGGAGCGAAGGGGGGGGGGGGGCGGAGCGCGCAATCACGTGGTGTTTGACGTTGCTGCGCCGTTGCTACAGACGCTCCTCTCCGCTCCTGGCGCCGTTGCTAGGGGAGAGGAGGAGACTCACCGCGGACGGCGGATTCAGGGTCGCTCATAAAGTGCATTCGCGCTTAAAAGGAATATGTCTACTTAGGACAGGTAGCAGCCGCGGAGCCCAACCATAAAAGTGAAATAACTAGAAGAATAAGAATGGGGTGGATCCAAGGAGGTTATACTAAATCTTCTGGAGTGGCGGTCCCGCATACCCGCCCATGTCTCGAAGTGAAGCCGCAGCGGCCATATTGCTCAGGGCAGAAGAAGCAGGCGGCGCCTGCTTTGAAGCGCCGTGATGCTTGCCATGCGTTTCGTTATTGCTACAAAAGCACCTGTTTAATATTTTTATATAGTAGGCGAAGGAACACGGAAAGGACTTTAATGCACATCTGCTTTAATTTTTCTTGGACACTTGGCGTTTCAAGCGTGTAAAAAAAAAGAACATGCCAGACCTGCAAGGAACGCGCAGCACAGTCACAGCGAAAGCTGGGGAGTGGTCTTTCAGAGCCTTCTCTAAAAACTCTTTGGAATGCTACAAGGGCACTGCTGGGTATCCACAGTGCCTTAAATAATCATAAATTTTCTGTAGTAGGCCAGCATTCACTATGCTATCCTTCGCCATTCTTTGGAGAATCGTGCGCGGTATTCGCTACACACTTGTTTGAAGTTTAGTGCATCTTTTTATGCAGTGGCTGATGACGATGAAGAAATATGCGTGAAGTGGTTATGCACCACAGTTAATAGGTGATCAAGAACAAGTTATTTAATGGATGGGAGCGTTGGGCGACCAAGTCGTCACGAAATTCGCATTGTGTGACGCCTCGCTGTTCCTTGATGGTCTAAAACACTTTATTACTCATATTAATGCGACTCGTTTCCAGACATCAAGCCTGCCTAAAACCAGTTTAGAAACAACTTCCAGCACTGGCGCGCCTCAGTGGTAGAATGCTGGGTTGGCACGCAGCGGACCCGGGTTGGACTCTCATTGTGTCATTGATATTCTTAACTTACCGAGTTTTCTTTGTTCGATACTAATTACGAGTGGCGGCGGCGGCGGACACGGCTCTACGCATGACCCATGTTCTGATCTCGTAACACCTTTCACTATAAAAAGAAAAAAAAAACTTACTCAAGGATATGACACACACACACACACACACACACACACACACACACACACACACACACACACACACACACACACACACACACATATATATATATATATATATATATATATATATATATATATATATATATATATTGTAATGACGAAAACCGAAACTGGAACTCTCTCTGGCACAGACTCGCATGCTAGGAAGGAAGAGGAGGAAGACGAAGCAGAATAAGAACAGCCGGCCTGCAGCAAAGGCGTTGTGTCTTATTTCTCGTCCTTACAATGGCGCAGTCGACGAAGAAGACGTCTTACGTCCCGGCTTCGTCACCCAGGATACCCGCCGACGTGTAGCCGCGGTAAGCGTCGCTTGGGACGGCGTCAAGGCCTCCTCGGCGGCTCCAGCACCCGTTCCCGGTACCAATTCACGATAAGCAACGCCGTCACGCTTCTTCGCTGATGGAACCCGCAAGGCGTCCGTCGCGGCCAGCATCGATCCCAGCACCGACGGATGGCGTCCAGGCCTCCGTTGTGGTTTCGGGGAACTTGCCCAGGGACGCGACACGTCACGGCAACCATGCGCACGGGCCTCTCTCACCTAGGGATGGCGTACATGCCTCCTCCATACCTGGCAACCTGTCGGCGCTTCAAGCACCCACCGTGTACGGCGTCGAGGCCTACCCGGCGGCGCAACACCGCTTCATCTACGCCACAGTACCAGGTCACAACTCATCACACGGGTTCCGCTTGCCTGGGAACGTCGTTGACGCTTCCAGCGCCCTGGAACCCATGTCCACGAATCCGACCACAGCTGGATTTCCAAGGGACGCCGTCCACGCGTCCTTGGTCAGGAATTGTACCACCTCGAATACCGCAGTCACTGTATCCTCCGCAGAGGCGGGCCTTGGCTTTTCGTGCGGATCACACGACAGCGCAGCGGAGCTGCAGCATACCATCGCGCAACTCCGTGTCACGACCAACGCCCTCATAGCGTCGAGTTCCAAGCTATGTCCTGCCATCTTGCCAACATTGTGCGCACTCAATGCCATGTTGGCTGCGGCCGCCGCACAAAACTTCGAGGTAAGCTCGCCCGAGAACCGTCGCAATCTCCGGCGTTCTCTCGCGGAGGTATCGGAGCAAGTGAACTCCTTGGCGGGGGCACATTTCGGAGTTCTGCCCGCCGTCCCGCCATCGCCGATTTCCTTCGCGCTACCGGAATTTCGCGGCTTCCAGGACGACGCCGAGGAATGGGTGGCAACCGTCAACGCTCTCGGAACGACTGAAGAGCACAAGAGGGACATGGCCATAGATCGCCTGCGGGATGCTGCCGCAGCATGGCACAGGTACGAAGGCGTCAGGCAGCAGTCCTGGGCAGAATGGAGTGCAGCCCTGATTGCCGCTTTCGGACGGATTTCCTGTGACTCCAGCAAGTCCAGCTCGATCTTTCCCGAGGCCGAGGATGGAGCCCAGGCAGCGCCCCGCCTCGAGGCTGCAATCGTTCGTTGCAGCTCGTCAACGGAATGCTGCCAGGAGTTCCCTGCTGCTGACCCTGACCGAAGTGGCTGGAATCCTACACTACAGGTCCCGGACTCTGCATCGGTATTCGACCTGAAAATACCGCCACCAGACCTTCGTCCGGAGATACGGCCCTCGCGCTCGTCGTCTGAGGACATCGAGGCACTCAATCCTATTGTATTAGACACAACTGAACCCTACCAGACCACGATCATGCTCAGCCACGCAGACACTCGGCTACCAAGGAACGTTTCCTTCGAGAAAGCCCAGATACCTAGCTACGCTGAGGCCACTGCCATCGAGAACTTGCCGAGGACCAGCCCTCCTGCTGTTTCCTCCCAGCATACGATGTTTGCACATGACAGTTCGCCAGAAGCCACCGGCTCGACTACGTCTGGGAGTTCTGCTGTGGTATTTATGCCCAACCATGAGCTGCGTCCCATCTCATTTCAAGAAATGGCCCAAACGTCATCATGGCTGCCTCGCAGGGCATCCCGCTGCAGTTCAGTCCACCAGCGACGGTGGGACAAACACCAGCGTTTCCAGGTTACTCTGCGACCTTGCCGGAACAGTCAGGGCCGTCCACCTGAACTGCATTCTACGAGTTGTCAGGAAACGTTGCATCATGGACGAGTTCGACCACGGCGACAAAGTCAAGCCCACCCACCAAAAACTTTACCGCCAGCTCCGCGCTCGCACAGGACCCAGTCTCCATCACGACACGGTGAACGACCCAGACGACATAGCCAGTGTCGGCCGCCGGAGCCAATTTCGACAAACTTCCAGCGTGGTCGAGACCGACCACGACGATGTAGCCAACCTCGCCCACCTGAAGCACTGTCAACTGCTGCAGCTAGCCTTACCTACCAGAACATTGTCGTTTGGCCCAACGACAATGCTAGCAGTCATGGCCGAGTGTAATGACGAAAACCGAAACTGGAACTCTCTCTGGCACAGACTCGCATGCTAGGAAGGAAGAGGAGGAAGACGAAGCAGAATAAGAACAGCCGGCCTGCAGCAAAGGCGTTGTGTCTTATTTCTCGTCCTTACAATATATATATATATATATATATATATATATATATATATATCCTACAAAAACATAGAGCCTGCAAAAAATTATTCTTAGCGTCATTGTGCCCCCGGACGCCAAAAGAAAATCTATGAATGCAGTCGCATAGTCGCTAAAATATGGGAGAATAAGCGAATGAGCGAAGCATGCCTACTTAAACATCGAAAGCTGAGCCCAGTGTCCGCTTCACACGATTCGCACAGCCAAATACTACCCAAGAGCCCAACATCGTCGCCTCAAAATGTGATCACAGACGTGTTCAGAAGCGTCTTGTTCAATTAGAAGCATGATACGCAACATTACTAGCACTAAATCAACACGAAAGCCACGCACGCTAAACTGCGCCCATCCGTTTTCTGCCCTGATCAATATGGCGGTGTCGGCTTCAGCCGCGGAGCCTCGCCGCCACTCCAGAAGCTTTAATATAACCTCCTTGGGTGGATCACATTCGGCAAGTGATCTCAAATCACGAATGGTAACCTAACACTAACCCTCAAGAGGAAGGTACATGACGGCTGCATCTTGCCGGTACTTACCTACTGAACAGAAACCTGCGCTTACACAAAGAGAGTTAAGCTTAAGTTGGCGACGCAGTGAGCGATGTAAGGGAAAATGATAGGTGTAACCAAGAAGGGAGCAGAGTGGATCAGGAAAAAAATGGCGTTAAGGATATCATAGTTGAAATCAAGAAGAAGGAATGGACATTGGCCGGGCATGCAGCGCGTAGGCAGGATACCCGCTGGTCATTATGGATAACCGACTGGATTTCCAGAGATGGCAAGTGGGTGAGGGAAAAAACCGGGGTTAGGGATATCATAGCTGAAATCAGAAGAAGAAATGTACATGGGCCGGGCATGTATCTTATAGGCTAAATAACCGCTGGTCATTAAGGATAACTGACTGGATTCCCAGAGAAGGCAAGTGGGTGAGAAGGAGACAGAAAGTTAGATGGGCAGATGAGATTACGAAGTTTGCGGGTATAAAGTAGCAGCAGCAAGCACAGGACCGAGTTGACTGGGGGATCATGGGAGAGGCCTTGTCCTGCAGTGGGCGCAGTCAGGCTGACGACGACGACGATGCATACAAACGCACGCACTAAGTGTGCAATACAGACAACAGCTGTTAGCTCTCGTGATGTCACGATTACTCTGTGCGCGTCGTGCGCACCGTTATTAGCTTATAACATACCACCCACAAAACATGGACCAACGCGTCGCTCAGTTCTGTATTTCTACATCATGAACTGACTATACAATAAAGCGAAGGTTATGTCTAATTCAATTGATGTATCAAAGTAGCGAGATCAGGGCGAGTTGGTCTGGCGACCTTATATGCGTCAAACGCGTTTCGAGAGAGAAACTTTAGTGAATTGCTGAAGATGCTACGTAGATGCTGGGTGGTGATTATGCTGTATACACTGATAAACACTTTACAGCACATGCAGTTACTCACACATGCACAGATTACACTATTTTACAAAGTTTCATCGAGGCCCATGGTTCGTAAGTACGTCAACAGCGCTTTCGAGGTGCACAGCGCACAGGTGGTACTTTGCAACGGGCCGAGAATATGCCGCAGTTCGAAGAAAAAAAAAGAAAGGCCACAGATGGGCACTGACCTGAGGTCCATTCTGCAACGGTGCCGGGGGCTTTGCGTTGGCGTTCTCCATGTACACGATGTGCGTCAGCGTCGGCATCTTCTCCACGACGCTGAGCACCCGCGTCAGGAGGTCCGACGAGGTGACCAGGTGCGTCACCTCGGTCAGGTTCACGGCGCTCACGATGTCATCGTTGCTGAGAGTCGCGTACAGTGTCACCAGCGGTATGTTGGTTCGAAAGCAGGCCTGCGCAGTCAGCATCCATTCGGCCCGGGTCTCGGCAAGGATGGCCAGGTACTGTCGCGGCCTCGCGCCGATCGAGAGGAGACCGCGAGCCGTGAGGTCTATCTTGCGGTCCATCTCTTCGTACGTCCACCACTCGTAGTCGCCCAGCACGAGCTTCTTGAAGACCTTGCCGTTGGGCTGCTTCTCTTCGGTCCGTCCCAGGATGCGTCGCGTGCCCATGGCGGGCCTCTTGGGGTAAGCCCGGATGGCCCTGCGCGCGACCTCGTCAAGTGTCTGGACGCCCTTCAGGCTCTGGAGCTCCGAGTTGTCCAGGAGACGGTACGGGGACGACGGGTCGCCTTCGATTATGGGCTTGGCGAAACACATCCGCTTCCGCTTCCAGTACACCCAGGGCTTCTGGAGCACGACGTACACGGGAAGCGTAACAACGTCGTAAACAGTCCCCATGACCTTGATGAAACCCATTACGGCTTCTATCGCGAGCGCAGGCATGGCTCTGGCTGCTGTGAACCGCGGTGTTCACAGTTTCACCGAAATAACCGGAGACGATGCGAAGAGGATGGTAGGGAGCGCAAACAGTGGCCTGAAGACAGAACTGCACTCAGAAATGCGTGGCGGTACAGAACACAAAAAAACACACGGAGAGCTTCGGCTTCACTGAAACGACACTCTTGGCAGACGGGGCAGGTACCGTGATGACGACTCGGTGAAGTCGAAAAAGAGCACTTCCCTCAAAACGCACTAACTTCCTTCAACACAATCAAAATTCCAAGCCCTCAGCACACAATGGCAACGGTGGCACTCGCTGGTGAGATAAAGAGATCCTGCCTCTTCGAACGAAGAAGGTACTTGAAGCGTCGCGCTCGAAATGCACTCGAGAGATGCACGACGTTGAACTTGCACCACACGATGCCTCGATAAAGTCCAGCTTCCGGGAACAAGGCAGGCTTACTGCTCTACGCCTCGCCGTCTTCTCAAAATGCAAATTACACCGTTCGGCCCAATCTGAAGTGCTCTAATTTTGCGCCAGCTGCAAACCTCGAGTGGACGTTCCCGCATACGGTGCACTATAGGACCAGTACGATTTCGATGACGAACCGTCCTCCACTCGAAGAAAGCAGCAGTTCTTGATCCTTCCAATATTGGGATTAGGAGGCGACGTCCTGATTGCTAGCAGGAAAGAAGGTTGCGCCTCGCAATGCAAGCAGCGAGGTCTTCGATGTTGCCCAACATGTAGCACCTCGAGCACAAAGAACAGGACGAGCGGAGCTCTAATCTCGGCAGCACTCGAGAAGAGGGCTTGGTTGTCTCATTTCGAAATCCGTCACGGGTGCCGAGTAGGGTGCGCGATAACCCGGTGCATCCACCTGTTGCGCTCTATTTGCCTTGGAGGGCGGCCATCAGATTGGACGTGCGCACAGCTGGTCTCTCTCTCTCTCTCTCTCTCTCTCTGCGGACTTGACTGGAACAAAAAGGAAGCAAGGAAAAATACGGTCATACTTCTGTCTGTATTTTATGACAAACAACGAATGCGTCACAAACATACATTGTAGAATTGATAACTGAGTGAGTGAAACAGCTTTATTTGGTCCACAATAGGACGAGTTAGCTCGACGTCACCAGGCTAGGCCCAATCGGAGACGGTCAGGTTAAACCTGACCACACTCGCGTGGGCCCTCTGCACAGGCGAGAATTTGACAGGGCAGCTTCTGGGGTCTTAATGAGCTTGTTATTTCCTCTTGGTGGAAAGGGGGACCAGCAAAGGCACCGTCCCACAGGACATTCTCGAGAAACCACCACACAGGGGACACACCGGGCTAGCGAACCATTCGGGGTATGTTGTGTGCAGTGCCGCAGAGCTCGGGTAGGTGCTTGTTTGGAGCAGTCTGACGGTGACAGCTCGGGCCCGGCACAGCGAGGAGTGTGGCAGAGGAAGCACCGCGTGCAATGTATGCGAAGAGCTCGTTATAATCATGTTGTAATGCACGTTAGTTGTACTGTTTCAGATCATCAGGGCTGCGATTCAAGTAGCACGCGAAACAGAGCTATAGTTGATTGACCTAAGTGTTACCACTTAGGTCAATCAACTAGCTCTGCAAACGCATGGCAGCACCATACTCCTGTCGGGACCTCTGCTATGTCTCGTGTGATTAGGGAGCTTTAGAATACCGTTTGCAAGCGCTGCGGGCGTTGCGGGCGCAGTAAGAGCTTTAGAATAGCGCTTGCCCTGCTGCGATCCGCAACGCACGATCGCAGCGACACCGTATAGCCTCGAAACCAGCGCTTGCGGGCCACATGCGGGCCGCCATCACCGCACGCAATTTCGGATTTTCTGCGTGCGGTCCGCGAACGCCGACTCGCGTTACGACGCATGCGCAGTGGCAGCGACCGCACCGCAAGGGCTCGCAATGCGCTATTCTAAAACTTCCCATTGTTGCAGCCAAAATAGGGAGAAAAGGGGGGGGGGGAGTGCGTTCTTTGATACACGCACTAATTCTCCAAAAAATTTCATGAGCGAGTATATTATACACATGCACAAGATGCGTTAAGTGTAGCTAACCCCCCCCCCCCCCCCCCCACGCTCCTCCATATCCGAAAAAATGTCTGATTACGATAATGTGTCACGTTGCCGTGTTGCTCTTACCGTTTTGCATAGTTTCGTTTCACCCTTAATTTAGTTATATTTTTGTGCTATTTATTTTACTGCGCTAATATAACTGCTCAATTGAAGTTCGTTCATTCGGATTCATTAAATGTATCCGAATACGGCACATCCGGATACCCAGTCTTTTGATACGCAAGATCGTTTCGAAAAGCTGCAACTGCATAAATGTGAAAGTTGCGTCTCCGATAAAATATCGTGGGTTCGGGGAGTGAAACCCCAGATTTTATTCTAGAACCATAAAGTCGGCTTAGGTTCATGTTTACCGAGATTCAGGTTTAGAAAAACTCGAACTACTTCTATAACACGACAGTCTTGGTTTTACCGCGCACTCAAGAAATCCACCTAACCAGGAGTCGGAAATTTCAAAGCCTTCTGCGAGAAAATGGGTGCGCCTATGGAAAAGTTGTTAGGAGTGCTGCGAGTATAGCAGGGAAGCGCATATCACGGCACCCCATCATAGTATACGTCGTCCTTCAATCCATACACCACGTCTACATTAAATTAAATTAAATACATTTCCTTTCCAAGAAAGAGAGACTACAACAGTCACAAAAATCTGCTGCATTGAGTAGCTTGACCAGGGGAACGCCTTCTCAAGCATAAGAGCGCAGGACGTGCATTACTTAAAAAAAGAAAAAGAGAAAAAAAAAACAACCAACGATCATAGAGAAGATGAGAAACATATTAGCAGTTTGTTGTAGATTCTACAACAGAAGCCTTCCCAAAAGAAGCCTTCCCATTGACCCGTTTTAGTGAGGACGAAAAATATATGAAAAGAATAAAAAGAATGATACAACCAAAAAATAAGGCAATGTGCTCAACTAGAGCGAAGTCTTAGTGAAATCGAAGGATATTGCAGTATCTTCGAAATACATGTCGCGAACACCTTGCAATGGCATACTTGCGATTCTAACACTAATATTTTTGTTTTTATCATACATATATCGTTCAGCAAGCAGAAAGCCATAGTACTCTGAGCCACTGTGGTCTATGTTTTCTTCCCAGCAGAAGAAATATTTACTCACTGGGCATAACCGAGATGTTCCTTTAAAAGGACTTGCGACAATTTATTTTGTAAGTGGACACTTCCTCTACCGAAGGAAATCAACATAAACTTGTTTGCATATGCACACCCAAGCATTAATATGCCAGTGAAGAGGAAAAAAAAAATGTTACTTCGCTGAAACTACAAAGCTTCGTAAAGGAAGGCCGCCAAACATCTTGGAAAGGGAAAGGAAACGCGCCCATCAATGGAAGGTTATTTCCTAGCTCTCTTAATTTCTTTTTCGCTCGGTTAGCTGGACAGGATAACAAAACCTTTGGCTAGAGGAGCGTCGTGATGACTTGTATTGAAGAACAAACTTAAATGTGTGACTGTCTCTGTATGAAAGCACAAGTTTTTCGGAGACTTTGTATCCCGAGTAAGTGTTCTGTATAGACCTAAATCAAGTGGCGTACTGGAAAAGCTGGCACGAATTCGTGGCGAGATGCTTTTCACGCAAATTGAAACTATTTGATTTTATTTCGCTCACGAGTGTACACGCGATGGCATACCTTAGTTGAATCGTTGCGACTTTAGTATACCAGCTATATAAAAAGCGCGTTTCTTTTTTTTTATTAAACTTCAGTCTTCAGCCAAAGCGCGTTTCGCGTCTTCTTTCCATTTTTCTGCTTTTCCCTTTCACTTTCACTTTATTTCCTTAAAGACCCCACAGGGGGGAGGGGGGGGGTGTTACATAAGGGGTGGGTTGTACAACAAAGATACAAAAGCCACAGGTTAACATTGCAGATGCATTGACACACTTTGAATAAAACGTGATGGACAGGTGATTGAAACAACATCGTGGGGAAGGTCATTCCATTCTTTGGAGGCGCGGCAGAGAAATGATGCAGAAAATGTTGAGATGCCAGATCGGGGTCGGAAGACTTGAAGTGGATGGCCAGTGCGGGGAGAAATGCGCAAAGTCTCGCGATCACTCCTGTAGGACTCTTTTTCCTTACTTTTTTTATATATGTCTTAGTGCTGCCTGTACTGTAGATGTTGCCGCGGACCACTGTCAAGTTCTACGCGTCCCGAGCGATTTTTACCCGCAGTCTCCTCCATCGCTGATGGAAATGAAGTTATTGTTTACACGTATGGAGAGCCCCTCTTTTTTTCCTGTACGGCGATTACCCTGACGAGAAGCGGCAACGAGCGCCAAAGAAAGACAAGCGAGGCATACAGAAGGAAAGGAAATGCAAACACCGCGTGGTGCGGCGAGATAAACAGGCAAAGGAAACGGAATGCTTTCGTGGGCGATACCGGCGGAGCGCCAGTGAAGCCTACCTACCCCCCGGGGGTATTCACAAACGCTCCTCGACTCGAATTTCACCCTCCACTTGACAGAGTTGCGCACCGCGCCGCTGCTCGGCCGAAAATGACGCTGCGCTACTCAAAAATACCAGCAAATTACCATTAATATGCAGTGACTTTCCCTGCCTAGAGATGGCGCTCCCATCGGCTTCCTCAAGTTAAGGTGGAGCGTTGAGTGAAGGGGCGTTTTAGAATACGAGGGCTAATGATTTGCTGGCCGTAACGTGTGAGGCCCGACGATAGTTATAGCGCGAGAACAAAACGACACAGAGACAAGAAGGACACGAAAGACACTTGTCTCTGTGTCGTCGTTTTGTTCTCGCGCTATAACTATCGTCATGCCATACCAACTAGCCCAAGCCGCCACACTTCTAAGTGTAAGGCCTGTAGGCGCAGCCAGAAGGGGGAGCGAACAAGGGGGGGGGCGCCATCTGCCAAAATATTGGCCTGTCCCCCCCCCCCCCCATCTTGCACCATCACGATTAGAACACGAGCAAGAATACCGCGATTACGAGTTAAGCCCCAAAACAAATCCTCCCTCTCACACAACCGGGGGGGGGGGGGGGGAAGAGGCCTTGCCGGGACAGACGTATGGATGATGTTGGTTTGATGAGTCACCTGAGACTCTCGGATAAAGTACCTTCGGGCTCCGCGTCTCCTTTTTTCCTATCTGATAACGGCGAGATGGACGATGGCAGTGTGACGAACATGGGAATCATTAGCGGAAATTGTTGGAAGAAGGGGGTAAAGGAATGCGGACCCCCCCCCCCCCCCCCTTTGTGCTGAGGCCGAGGAGTACATCGCTAGCAAGTGTGCCCCTCGATATTTAGCTTTAGAACATCGTATATATTTGAATCCCTCGAAAGCCAAGTATGGCACATTCAACTTTCTTTAAAGACGATTATTCTTTAGCGTGCACGTGTTCAAGACCACTCAGCTACGCGCGACTATGGAAATCGCAAAAGCCACTGGACCGGATCAAAGAAGACCGAATGCAACAATGCAATTACTGGAGCTCGGACGCCATTCTCGTTTTCGAAGTTTTATTTCAAAACATTATTTAATTATCACGTGAACAAAAATACAACCCACATTAAAAAAAACAAAATGGCGCGCCATATTCTAATTTGTGTCCCCCCCAGTATTTTTTTTTTTTCTGGATTCACACCACTGACGGGAATCATCAACAGCGAACAAAATTACGAGGTAAACGGGGCGAAAAAAAGTAGACAGTCGGCAAAACGAACAACACAAGCGCGCACTAACAACTGAAATTGCATTTTTTTTAAAACGCAAAATAAAAAAATGAAAGACAATAAAACAACGCGTCCAAGAATAACTCTTTCATTAGCGCGCGAAAATCGTCATTTTTCACATGTCTCGGGAAGATAGTTTTTGCCAGTTTGAAAAGTTCTCCTGCACACATCG